ACCATGTGGTTGCTGGGAATTGAACTCAAGACCTTTGGAAGAGCAGGCAATGCTCTTAACCTCTGAGCCATCTCTCCAGCCCCCTTCACTAAATTCTTGAATTTTAGTTAGTCGTTACTAACCAAATGCCATGTTACTCCATGTTGTGTTTTTGGCTGGCCAAGTGTGGAGTAGCTCTGTCCATTGACTATAGGTGTTGAATGACGCTCCTAGCTTTTGTGGTAAAATCACACAGGCAGGCAAGCAGGCAAGCATATACAAGAGCTGCTGTATGCAAAGCTGTAAGAAGTAGGCACGTGCAGCTGGAGAGAGTTTTATGTCGGTAAACAGTAGTAGTCTCTGCCCTCACACCCTTACTTGTTCATTTTGTTTCAGTGTCTGTTTCACGCTCTGAGCATGCATAGTTGGTGTTTGTTTTAGTTTTGGTTTTTAACATTTTTTTTAGATTTATTTATTTTATTGTATGTGTGTGAGTGTTTTGTCCAAATGTATGTCTCTGTATGATGGATACCTGGTGCCCATGGAGGTCAGAAGAAGGCAGCAGATCCCCTGGAACCTGAGTCCTGGGAGGTTGTGAGGCACTGATCCTCTGCAAGAGTAGCAAGTACTCTTCACCTCTGAGGCAATGCTCCCCAACTGCTTCTTAGAATGGGCCTTGCTTTGTAGCCCAGGCTGGTCTTGAACTTGAGAGTTTCCTGCCTCAGCTTCTTGAGTGCTGGGATTCCGGGTGAGCACCACCACACTCAAGAATCTGATCTTGGCCCAAATAAGTAGTGGGCTCAAGAGAAGATGTCAGGTCCACCCCGTGTTTCTAAAACCGTGTCTGCTTGGTTTTAAAATATTCTTTTAAGCCGGGCGGTGGTGGCGCACGCCTTTAATCCCAGCACTCGGGAGGCAGAGGCAGGCGGATCTCTGTGAGTTCGAGACCAGCCTGGTCTACAAGAGCTAGTTCCAGGACAGGCTCCAAAACCACAGAGAAACCCTGTCTCGAAAAACCAAAAAAAAAAAAAAAAATATTCCTTTAAATATTTAAAATAATATTTTTTTCCTTACAGGTATACTCTGGAAATGATCAAATTAGTACCACACAATGAAAGTGCGTGGAACTACTTGAAAGGGTAAGAGGCTGTTTTTGCTGGTTTTTCGTAAGAGAACCACCAGGCTGCTTATGAGCAACATCATGGAATGTCCTCCATAAGAATGCCAAGGAATTTCCTGGGTTGGTACATCTACTAGTAGGAGCAAAGCATGCTCACGGTCCCTTGGCATTGTGCCCTCTGCTTTCCCCTTTTCATCTCTGGGCACACATCAACAGTTTTTAGAGCAGTACCCAGCAATGCTGATGTGTTGTAATAGTATTTATAACTCTGCTAGTGTTTTGCTGAAGCCTCTAGAGTTTATGTCACAGGATGGAATACACACTCTTGTATATTCCTGCAGGGCAGAATAAACTTGACAAGTTACTTACATGTGTGGCCAGTCTTTCTACTACCAGTGTCCAGTGACAAGTCTTACTCTTAAAATAAGAAGGTTTCCCAGGCCTGGCCCTTCACATGGCCAGAGAGCATGGCACGGCGCCCAGGTACACTTGGAGATGCGCCAGGACTTGTGACCCCTAAATAGCCAAAGGTTTGAAGAACCATCTCAAAAAGAAGTAGGGACATCTCTCCTGCTCTTTCCTTTCTTTTTAACTTTACGAAAGAGTTCTTTTCTACTTTAATTGTGTGTGTCAAGTAGTTTAAGTTATAAATGATTGCTTTAAATCTTTTAAAAATGATCTCATGTCTACCAGGCTGTTCTCAGACTGAGACTATAAAGTGAAGGCGACCTTGAACTTCATGTTCTCTCCCTCCACTTTCCAAATGCTGAGATTGCAGGCATGCATCACCATGCCTCGATTATTTATTGCTGGGATTGAGCTCAGGGCCGTGCATGCTAGGCAAGCCTCTGCCAACTGAACTCCCTCCCCAGTCCCACTTCATTGGATTTGAAATTAATTTTACTCAACTTTAAATCACCATTGACAAGGCCCACATAGCTCACAATTCTTTCTTTTTCCAGCCTCATTTGTTCCTGACAAGTCGTCTTCTTTTGTCTCAGGGCTTTCTTTCTTTTTTCCTATTTGTGTGTGCTCTCTCATCATGGAGTTTTGTTTTGTTTTAGGATTTTGCAGGATCGTGGTCTTTCCAGATACCCTAATCTTTTAAATCAATTGCTTGATTTACAACCAAGTCACAGTTCCCCCTACCTGATCGCCTTTCTTGTGGACATCTATGAAGACATGCTGGAAAACCAGTGTGACAACAAGGAGGACATTCTTAATAAAGCCTTAGAGGTGAGTGTACGCAACAGTGTCCTAGAATGGGCTTTGCCCATTGCCACTGCTCTTGGTGCCACTTTTTATATAGTTTCTTGGGTTGTTCTGTTTGGGGCAGTACCGCGTTGGTAATGTAACCCTTGTGCGGTTTTTGCATGTGACCTGAATACGTTAAATTGCCATATGCCCTTGAGGTTGAGCTAAACATTTACTTGAATCATTTTTATTTTTCATTTTCAGTTATGTGAGATCCTAGCTAAAGAAAAGGACACTATAAGAAAGGAATATTGGAGATATATTGGAAGATCCCTTCAGAGTAAACACAGCCGAGAAAGTGACATGCCAACGAGTGTATAGCAGCGAGAGCGTGTGGACGGAGTGGACGCTGCTTTCTCTCTAAAGGCCTCTAGCGCAGGAGTGTAAACCTAGAGCGGCCATCCCTTGCCTGTGCGCTAAAGTTGTTGCCCAGGTGCTGTTTTTAACAAGAACTAAGTATGATACTCCTGTGTGCTGATGCTGTTCAGACTAGCTCTAAGAAATCAGTTCTTCTAAAGCAAGGTCACTGGAGGGGAGGGTCAAGTCTTCCCATAAAGGAACTGCTGCTTTTGTAGTCTGCCAACATTTAACCCAGCCCCGCAGAATCCGCTCCTCGGGACAGGTGTGTGCGAGGCTGTGCGTGGTGGTGGAGGTGAGCAGGGACTGCGGCTGCCGGGCAGAGCTGCGGGGCCACACTCACTGTAACCAACTAATGCCAAAAGAAAGGGTTTGTAATAAAATCACATGTATCCATAAACAATGCTACAGTCTTTGGTTTGGTTTTTTTTGTTTTTTGGTTTTTTTTTTTGATTTTCGAGACAGGGTTTCATATCAGCTTAGAACCAACAAGGATCCTAGTGCTTTGGAGGCTGAGACAGGAGGATTGCTCTAAGTTTGAGGCCAGCCTGGGCTACATAGAGAGGTTCAGGCCAAATCAAAACATAGAGTGGCCCTCCCCCTTTTTCTGTTTTGTTTTCTTTTTTTTTCTTTTTCAAGATGGTTTCTCTGTGAAACAGTTCTGACTGTCCTGGAACTCACTTTGTAGACCAGGTTGGCCTCGAACTCACTGAGATCCGCCTGCCTCTGCCTCCCCAGTGCTGGAATTAAAGGCATGTGCTACCATGCCTGGTATGGCCCTCAAAAAAGGAAGAAAAATAACAAAAAGAAAGAAACTGAGGAAGAAAATACTGCTATAAAATTTGTGATTGTGAGGAGGGAAATGTGACCTTGTTAAAATGGAACTTGGTCCATTTTGCACTGTAAGCAATCTACTCAAGATAATTTAAACCATGGATTTATTCAGCATAGCCCGCAGTCCCGGCCTCATCTAGAAGTCTATCCCAAACCCGTGCTATACAATAGCCTCAGTTGCTGCTACCGGAACCGGAACTGGGAAACGGCTGTGGGAGGAATGAGAAACCGCAGAGCTGCGTGCCATCCCCAGGACTGTGCCACCTTGTACGATGCACACCTGCTGTGTGACAGCAAACCAAAGGCTCAGTTAACACTTGAGTGGGAAGAACTTGCGTTCTAGGTAGAAATGAACTTTGAAGGCTCTGAAAACACGCTTCTTCGATTGTGTCTCTGCCCTTGGCTGCACCTGCTGCAACGGCATTGGAGCGGCTTGACTACAGGTTGTAGCCATACAGCGTGTTTAGGGCTAGAACACCAACCAAACCACAGCTCAGTTCAGTGCTGCGAAGAGCTTTCTCCACATAAACTGGGAAATAATGTTCCATACAGAAAATACATTGAATTGGTATTATCGTTGTATTTTTCTTACATTTTATACAGTATTTGTGATGTGTAGATCTTCCAAATCTCAAAATACGTTCTTTGCATTTTTCAGTAGCATCATTGTAAAAACAACAAAACACAGCCTAGATGTCAGTTGTGGTGGCTCGTGCCTTTACTGCCAGTATTTAGGAGGCAGAGGCAGGCAGATCTCTATGAGTTCAAGGCCAGCCTGGTCTCCATATTGAGTGCCAAGCCAACCAGGCCACATAGCAAGACTTTGTCCTCGCTCCCCCCACCAAAAAAAAAAAAAAGCCAGCCTAGAGAAATTCTAGACTGTATAAGAGTTCTTATACAGTATAAGAAACTAGAACATAGCCGGGCGGTGGTGGCGCACGCCTTTAATCCCAGCACTCGGGAGGCAGAGGCAGGCGGATCTCTGTGAGTTCGAGACCCGAGACCAGCCTGGTCTACAAGAGCTAGTTCCAGGACAGGGTCCAAAACCACAGAGAAACCCTGTCTCGAAAAACCCCCCAAAAAAGAAACTAGAATATATAAGAGCATTTATTCTCAGAAATTGCCATCAGTGGCCAACATTGTTTTGGGGCTGCTGGTCAGCAAAGCTATTTGGAACTGTGTAAGAGTCAGAATGGGCCAGGCAGCGGTCGGCGGTGGGGCTGAGAATTTCGGACATTTGCTCAGGCTGCTGTTCTGGGGCCCACCCTTTGGCAACTACCGCTTTGCAAAGAGTGTAGATCACGAAGCAACCCTCTGAGATTCCCAGGCCCAGGCTCAACCTTTTTGCTGCGTCCTGGCTCTCACCAGCCTAACCAGGGGCTGGGTGAGAGCGCCTGCGCTGCCGCGGGCGTCCATGGTGCGGCGAGAGGCGGCCACCAGGGGGCCGCCTCGCGCTCGTCTCGGGCCGCTTCCGGCCGCGCAGGCATTGTGGGCCGCGAGCTGGATTTGGTGGATATCAGGTAGGCTCCGGGGAATGGTGGAGCAGGCTGGGGCTCTGCGGGGCCTTTCCGAGCCTGGACCACCTCCCCAACCCAGCCCCAGGGTGGGATGACGCTGCTCTCCCGGGGCTCAGCTGGGCCTTTCCTTGGAGCAGGTGATGCCCTCCAGATGCTTACCGTGCACCCTCCGTCCCTCCGGGTGCTCATCGCGCACCCCACCCCCGGTGATCACCGTGCACCGCCCCACTCTGGGTGATCACCGTGCACCCCTCCGGTTTTTCACCGTACAGCCCCTACGTGTGCTCTCCGCGCACCCCCCTCTGGGTCTCTCTGTGCTCTGGGCGCTGCCACTCAACTGTGTGAACGGAGACTGTCCTCGGTGCTCTCTCTTTCTTACCCCCTCCCTACCCACTTCTCTCCCCACTTCCCTCCTTCTCTATTAAAAAGCAATATATAGACGTTTAGGAATTTTGACGTCCCCACTCTGCCTGTACTAACGAAATAATATCCAGATTATTTAAAATAGTTATTGGAAAGTGAGGTGACACCAACATCTCGAATCATGTAAAATAGTCTTCATATTGGCAGTTCATTTAGTTGCCTTATTTATTTTGTCTAAGCAGCCCCTTCCAGTGACCACACTGGGTTCAAGTCTGCCTAATCCCTGAGCTTTGCAAGACCCTGAGGAAGAACGTGGATTTGAGGCAGCCCTTCCAAGCACATGGTGTCGATCTTGGATGAGCGCATTCACCTTTGAGTCCGTTCCCTTCTCTGGGAAATTACATACCTCAGAATTGTTTTGAGTTTGATATTGTGTGATACTGTGTGAACAGTTGAGTTTAAGGATGGTTACTGTTTTCCTAGGGAGAGTCAGAATGCGAGGATTATAGCTAAAAGGCACAAAATACAGTCCATAAATGCCGCAAGGGCTTGCCAACTAATGAGGGCCGTATTTTCATTTGAAAATATGAATTCTAAGGCCTGGAGAGATTGCTCAGTGGTTAAGAGCACTTGTTTTTGCAGAGGACCCAGGTTCAATTCCCTAATAGCTCACTGCTGCCCTGCCACAAGTCTCTTGTAAAACCCAGGAAAGGGGCTGACAATTTTATGCTCCAAAATCTGTGCACTGGAAAGGGTGTGTGCCTATGTGTGTGTTTCACACGTGACATGGCACGCATGCGGAGGAAAGGGTACAACACGGATGCTGGTCTTGGCCCTCTCCCTTTGTGAGCCAGAATCACTCTGGTGTGCCGTGGGTCAGACTGACTGGCCCAGCGGCTTCCACGGATTCTGTTCACCCATATCACCATAGGACCAATGGGATCACAGGTGTGTCTGGCTTCTCTTGGGTTCTGGGGATTTTAGCTTGGACCCTGGGGATTTCAGCTTGGGTCTGCACACCTTACCCACTGAGCCATCTGCCCAGTCTGTGTGTGTTCTTTTCTTAGGGAGCGCCCTTTCCTTCCTAAAACTATAAGCTCTAGGTGCCATGAAACTTGCATTCACCCAATAGAAACGTCGGATGAGGGGGAGGTTGGGGTGAAAAAGATTTAACACTTGGAAGATGTAATGGTGGTGCTGGTGAAAATGGATGAGAGAAGAAATGGCGGATGGGAGGCGCTAGAGGGCAGGACCCACAGAAAACTGAAGAACAGATTCCTGGGCTTGTGGAAACACAGGAAGACAGCAATGCCTGCCAGATGCCCATGAACACAGAGAAGTGCAGTGTGACTGTCCATTCAGTGTGCCTTGGTCCCTACTCTGTGCCAGGCACTGCAGATGTTAGGGAACCAAACAGAACAGGTCACAAACATCTCGGAGCACAATCTAAGGGCTCACAGATCTCCTAAAGGGTTTCTTTGGGCACCAAGGAATGTTCGGGGGCTGGAGTATAGAACACTGGGGGACTCTGTAGTTTACTTTCCTGGGGTTTACCTTCCCCTTGGTGCAGAAGTCAGACCCAGGGCATTGTCTTGGCATGTGCTAAGCATTGACTCTCCCACCATCTACATCCCAGCCACTCAAGGCATTGTGGGACTATTGAATGTTTGTATTATAGGCAGGATTTGATCTGTCATTTGGAAGGATCACCCTCTATGTCAAGCAGGAATTCTTCCACATACACATAGGGAAATACGTATAAATTTTGTTTCACACCAGGCTGGTTGTAAATGCCCATGGAAGACTTAGACAAGAAGATGGTCTGGTTGGTTTGTCTACACAATGAAACTGTCTGGAGTGGGGGGAATTATTTCACTGATGATGCTCTCGTCAACTGAGAGTAGCAAAGCGGAGTGGATGAATCTCTAAAGCATACTGTGATGGGCTGGCGAGCTGGCTTCGTTGCGATGGGGGCTTGCTGAGTTCAACACTCAGGATCCATAGTGGAAGGAGAGACCTGATTCCTGTACATTGTGCTCTGACCTCCTTCATGCATGCCTTGGCAGGTGTCCTCCCCTCATGGTCAAAGAGATAAAATGTAAGAAATTAAAACAAGAAGATCAATCTGAACTTCAAAGCCGTTAGCTACAGAGTGGCTCTCCAGTATACCAGAAGTGACACAGTGCCTGAGAAGCTGCTTATGGGCAGGGACTTGTGACCACGGAGGACACGGTTTAACTGTGTCCACCAGAGGGCCTCGGATTTTAGCATTCATCCAGACCACCTGGAGAACTTTAAAAGTGGATTTTGTTTCTGATCAGTAGGTCTGAAGTGAGCGCCTAAGAAATGACTTTTCTTCCCAAGTCCCCAGGTTCCCAGCTGGAGAATCCCAGAGAATAACCGTGAGCCTAGTGGCGGCTGGGGACAGAGAGGGCATCGAAGGTACTCCAGTTCTATATGTAATATTTCATTTCTTTCACAAAGGTCAGGCTTGGTGGAGGATCACATGCTGTGCAAGAGCCTGGGCGGGATCCCCAATATACCACCACTCCCCCCAAAAAATGTTATTTTTTTTAAAAAAATGGAATATATTAGGACAACTGTAAATTGACAAAACACTGAATAGATGGTCCTAATCTTACTTATGTTTTCTTTTGGAACATTTCGTTAAAGAAGGAAGATCCTATCTGCTGTGTGGAGAATGGATGGGAAGAGAGAAAGATCATGCAGGAATCAGCTGTAGGAGCGCAGGTAAGAGGCGCTGGCGGCTTGTGCCAGGGCGGAGTCAGGAAAGGACGGTTCATAGGGCTTGGCTGATTCTGAGGTCAGGGGAGGGAGGAACTGAGTCACCCTGGTTTGTGATATGAGTGATAATAGGTTGTGTCTCCACGATAGAGTGGGAGCCCCGAAGAGGAGATGTGCTGGGGAAAAAGGGGTGGGGGGACAACAAGGTCAGCGGTGGACACAGCCCACAGAGCGTTGGGAGACGGATCTAGGCTGCAGTGTAGATGTAGGGATCGCAAGCAGCTTGAGAGCTACCAGAGACACTGCATGAGGGGAGATTAGCTCGGCCTGCAACACCCTCAAAGGAATGGTATCATCTGCTGCCAGTCTTGGCCAGCTACAATCCACTGCCTGAGTCCTGAGCTAATTAAGCACTTTACCAGTGAGCTGTAGTCCCGGCCATTTTTATCTTGGTAAAATATGTTGGGTAAGAGATATTTGTTGAGAAAGCACAGGTTTGTTTTTATACGCCTTAGGGGCTGCTCTATGTACTCTGGCAACTGGGCTGAGTGGCACAGGCAGAGACGATGCACGACATCATTCCACCCCTTTGCACCTCACATCGGTGATGCGGTTATCACTCGATTTTGACATTAACTCCTAGAGAAAAAGCAGTTGCAACCCTCTGTCCTAAGGTCTAAGTTGAGACACAGCTGGTCCCTCTAAAGATTATGAAGAAAGATGAGCTGGAGAGATGGCTCCGTGGGTAGAGGTGCTGGTCATGCAAGCCTGTTGCATCCCCAGGACCCACTTAAAGAGGGAAGAGAGAATCAGCTCCACTGAGTTGTCCCCTGACCTCCGCACACGGGCTGTGGCATGTGCTCGCCCATGCCCACACATCGTACACACAATGATAATTAACGTAAAGTTTCTTTTTAAAGTAAGATGAAAGAGATAATATAACAGGTGCAACAGCCTGGGTAGAAACAGCCGCAGCAGCTCTGTTCAGTCTCTGAAGATGAGCCGAGGGAGAGGCCTGAGGTCGAGATGAGGAAAGACGAACAAATGAATCTGAACACTGCTGGAACTGGCCGGGGAGACCCCAGAGTGTGGGGGGATGGCCTCCAGATGGCCTGTGAATGAAACCAGAGTGATTGCAGTCGGGGTTTCTTGAACACAACCCGGTGATAGCAGGAATGAATACCAGTGCTGAATTCTGTTGTCTAAGCGAAGCTACTGAACTGTCAGTCCTTACGTTTCGGGGTTAGAAGTAGTTGCGTTGCTGTGACAGCCCTTCACCCATGTCCTCATTGGCTTAGAAACAGGAAGGAGAAGTTCCTTATTTGCTGATAGGAACTGTGCAAAAGGAATAGATTTGGGGGACAAGACAAGTTTATTCTTTGAAGTCGAGATATATTTTTTATTTTGTCTGTGTGTGACTGCAGTATTCACATAGGCCAGAAGACACCGTCTGATCTCTTGGGATGGAGTTACAGAGGCTGTGAGCTGCCATGTGGTACCAAGCACAACTCTGAGCGACCCAGGCATGTGGATGGAGACTCAGCTGAGAGAAGGAAGAGACTCCTGAAGGTAGCCCTGTCAAGATTGACTCTGGCTCCCCATGTCTCCAGTCTAATGGCCACTTTGGAACACTTCTGTCCAGCACTTTGAGGGACAAGCATCCTTTGCTCAAGGGTCCATCCCAGGTCTGTCCCCTGCCAGGTCCCTCCGCCATGGCCTTGCAGTGGTCTCTGTTCTGGATTTTTTGGGTCCCTGCTACCTGTGTCTCCTAAGTCATCTCCTCGGAAAATCTTATAGACAGTTAGAATTAAAGGATTATTCTCCAAGTTTGTCAACTCTTATCCCGGATTATCATCAGGGCCTAATTTCTGCACCTCCATCTCCCCACCCCAAAGCTACCTGTGCACCCACTGAAAAGTTAGCTTTGCTTCTTCACTGGGGTATCACTCAGGGATAGGGTGCTCAGCTGGCTTAACCGAGGCCCTGTGTTCAATCCCCCGGGCCACAGAAAAAGCCTAAATATTTTGTTGTTGCTGTGTTAGGGTTCAAGCCCGGGGTCTTGCACATGCTGGAAGCTCCCTGAGCTGTATCACCAGAACACCCTAACCTCGTCTGATTCCTACGCTAAGCCTCTTTGTCTGCCTTCTGTCCCAGTCCCACAATGCACACCTACACTCAGGCCATCCACCTAGTGCAAGCTCCTGTGGGAGAAAAAGACCAGATGTGGTCTGGATGAACCCCCATTTTAGCTTGTAATGAAGACTAGTGTTTATCAGAGCAGCTCACGGTTCGTTTACGCCTTCAAGTGATGCTGATCCTGACCGAACCCCCGAGTGACGGCGACCACCTTCAGCCCACTAGTGGCATCCGAACACTCCCATGAAAATCAGCATAGACTGTGACGCTACTTCCTGTCTCATGTTCTGTTGTAGGAACTGACATGGGACAGCAACATGGAAGCAGGAAAGGTCTCACCCACAGGGAAGTCCCCCGGGGCGTTGGGCTGTTGCTCTCCTTGGCCCTTATGAATGCCGTCCTTTACCTCTGTCTCGACTGGTTTTTCATTTCCCCTCGACCTCCGGAGGACCCGAGTCGCTGTCCTCATGGTTACTTTAGGATGGGACGGATGAAAAACTGTTCGCGCTGGTTGTCCTGCGAGGAGCTGAGGACAGAAGTGAGGCAGCTGAGGCGCGTTGGGGAAGGAGCCGTGAAGAGAGTAAGTGTTCATGTCCCTCTGTCCTCACTGTCAACTCTGGGAGAGCAATTGTTTGGCACCAGGTGCCATGATGCGTGCTGTACCTGGGAGTCCAAGGCAAAAAGATTGCCTGGGGCTGGGCCGTGGTGGCGCACGCCTCTGATCTCAGCACTCGGGAGGCAGAGGCAGGCGGATCTCTGAGTTTGCGGCCAGCCTGATCTACAAGAGCTAGTTCCGGGACAGCCAGAGCTACACAGAGAAACCCTGTCTCGAAAAACCCAACCAAAAAAAAAAAAAGATTGCTTGGGGTGGGGACTTTGAGGCCAACCTGGGCAACATCGTGGAATACTGTCTTATAAACAAACAAAGAAAAAAGTCCCTTGACTGCCTTGTGTCTCGGATCGGGAACTCGGGCGGGCGTAGTGAAATCATCTGGAGAGAGGGAGGCAGGTGTGAAAGAGTGCTATAGGATGGGAGACAGGAACACGTTCAGGAGTCGGGCTGGAGCTTAGCTCAGCTGGAGGAATGCTTGTTTCAAGGCCGAATTCAAGGCCAACCTGTGCTACCGGACACCCTGAGACGAGGTGTCAGGTAGCACAAGTTGGCCTTGAATTCCCTCGAGAGACAGCTGTCTGGACTAACGTAGCAATGCTGAAGCTGAGGAAGTGTCTCTCTGTGTCTCTAGATGTCATCTATATCTAGCCCTAGTCTAATGCTGTTGCCTTTGCATATTTAATAAACTCCCAGATGGTTCTCTCGAGGCCTGTCTCTCCCCGACTCCCAGAACCGTGCAGCCAACTGTGTATTTGTCAGCTCCGCTTGGAGTTCTCTGAGCACGTCAGGACGTCCTGGGTGGGACTCTTGTTTGTTTCTTCCTTCCGAATGGAGTCTTACTGTATAGCCTTCAAATTCATGATCCTCCTGCCTCAGCTTCTTGAGTTTAGGGATTACCAGTATGTGTCACTACAGCTGGCTTGGTGTGGAATGGTTGATCATCTCTTCTGTGGGGCCTGCTGTTCCCCCCTCTGTAGATGGCACCACTTTCCACCCAGGTCCTTGAGCCATACACCTGGGAATCATCTTGGGCCCTCCTACCCCTTCTGTCCGCCAGGAGCAGGCTGTGCTCTTCCACACTGCGGTCCATGGCGACTCTCAGGTTCTGGGTAGCCTTTGGAAGAGTCCGTGGTCTCTGCCTTGGCCCTGCTCTTCCTTCTTCCTTCCTTACCCACCCCAGTTACATGCTCACCCTGCTGAGTGCCGTGTGTCTGTCTTCACAGCTCTGGGATGGCAGAGACGGGACCGTATCTGGTTTGTTTCCGCGTCCTCCGCACCACGCCTGCCTCCTAGGAGGTGTGTGTTCTTCGGCGTGCTTTGGTGGAAGCCTGGGTCTGACGTTCTCCTTGGCCCCGTTTCAGGTCTTTCTGTCCGAGTGGAATGAGCACAAAGTTGCTCTCTCACGGCTCACCAGGCTGGAGATGAAGGACGACTTCCTCCACGGACTGCAGATGCTGAAGTCTCTGCAGAGCCATCACGTGGTCACGCTGCTTGGCTACTGCGAGGAGGACGGCACTATTCTCACCGAGTATCACCCCTTGGGTTCCCTGAGCAACCTGGAAGAAACACTAAACCTTTCGAAGTACCAAGATGTGAACACCTGGCAGCACCGGCTGCAGCTGGCCGTGGAGTATGTCGCCATCATCAACTACCTGCACCAGAGTCCCCTGGGCGTGAGGGTCATGTGTGACTCTAACGACCTGCCCAAAACGCTGTCTCAGTACCTGCTGACAAGCAACTTCAGCATTGTGGCCAATGACCTGGATGCACTGCCCCTGGTGGACCACGCCTCCGGGATCCAGGTGAAGTGTGGCCACAGGGAACTCCACGGGGATTTTGTGGCTCCGGAGCAGCTGTGGCCTTATGGGGGAGACACACCCTTCCGAGATGACTTCATGCCCTCCTATGATGAGAAGATTGACATCTGGAAGATTCCGGATGTCTCCAGTTTCCTTCTGGGGCACGTGGAAGGCAGCGATATGGTTCGATTCCACTTGTTTGATATCCATAAGGCATGTAAGAGCCAGATCCCCGCAGAAAGACCCACGGCTCAGGATGTTCTGGACACTTATCAGAAGGTTTTACATTCGCTTAGAGACTCTGTGATGTCTCAGACAAAGGAGATGCTGTAAGGTCAGGCCGTTAAGTGATGGACTTGACAGCTGAATGGCATCCAAGCTGTTCTACTCTTGGTGATGGAAGTGCTTTCGTGAACCTCGTGATTTGTGGATGCAGGGTCTCCTCCACATCTGCCTGCACATCTGAGTGTGCCCTGCTTTCCCGACAATCCAGATGGAAGTAGCCAAGAGGGAAAACCTTGCTTTACTGTGCTTCCTGGTGAAGATGCAGAGAATTCATGGATCCACACGGTGTTTGAAGGAAGTGGTAAAACGGTAATCATGAAGACACATCGCCTACTCCGGTAACCATGTTTATAGATTGGTAGGAAATGGGAAGAAACATACACTAATTCTTCAGAGAACATTGCTCCTAATTTGAGCAGTCCTGTTGGAAACTGGGGATATAGAGCCCAGTGGTCGGGTGCTTACCTGGTTCTTTGCAAAGCCTCGGATATGATCCGTAGCATACACACACACACACACACACTCACTCACTCAAAGACCGTTTTGGGTGTCCAAAGTGCAGCCCTCGTCAGTGAGGTCCTTGTCAGTGTTGGAGATGACCGTCTGTGAAGGTTCCATGCAGTTTCCTCTCACTGAGCCAAGTACGCTGTGGCAGCATGCACTAGAGAGAGACGGTGAATGGCTAGGACTGACTGCTGGGAACGGCAGGCTGCGGGGACTTCCTTACCTGCCTGGGATGGTGCTGACCTGCGGTTTCTGGGTGAACGTTTCATATCCAGTGTTCCTCTTTCCTAGACAGTGTCGAGCCTCCCCGGGCTTGCACAACTGAACACCTTAAACAAAAACTGTGGCGCCAGGAATGGTGGCGCACACCTGTAATCCTAACGCCTGGGAAACAGATTGGAGAAACTAAGAGTCCAGGCCTGTCATGGGCTATATACCACGATCCCATCTGTCCACGCCCCCACCCCAATAAAAAAGTCTCTCCTGTGGTGCTGGCATCCTTATTTTGGGAGACATGAGAGAGTCGGTGTGTCTTTGTGGCCACTCACGAGGTGTCCCCTGAACCTGAGCAGGCAACAGAGCCACCTGGAGTCACATCTCGGGGCCCACCTTGGAGTCTCTAGCTTCACGGGGCTAGAGGGAAGTCCAAGGGTTTTCATTGTAACTGGTTCACCATGATGCTGCCCCTGGTGTTTCCCTCCTCCTACAGGGACCACCATTCAAAACTCATATCCCCCTTGAGTACCACAGGCCAAAGAAGTAGGCGGCATCGGATCTGATTGTTTTCTGTAGCCTGTGGCTGACAAGGGGGTGAGCTTGCCTAGGGTATCTGAACCGTCTCTGTGAAGCACACAGGTGCTCCATTCACTTTGGGTTTGTTTTACAAAATCTCCACCAAGCCAGATGGTAGTGGTGCATGCCTTTAATCCCAGGACTCGGGAGGCAGAGGCAGGCGGATCTCTGTGAGTTCCAGGACAGACTCCAAAGCTGCAGAGAAACCCTGTCTCAAAAAACATAAAAAACAAACAAACAAACAAAAAACTCCACCAAAACCAACTGGCTTAAAGATATTAACAAGTACTGGCCAGGATGTGGAGTGATTGGACCCCTTACTATCTTGCTAGTGGGAACGTAACGGTGCAAAAGCGCATTGGGGAAACAGGCAGTTCCCACTTTACTGTGCTCAGGGGCAGCTTATAGAGGGCTCTGGCCACGCCCCAGCTCGCGGGATCCTTCAGCTGCAGACTCATCAGAACCCACTCCCCTGCCATCAGGGTCTCGTGCTCAGAACAGCTGCAGGCTGCTCAGAGCAGAGGAAAACAAGTTGTTTACAGGCAATTCAGGATCTGGCGATCTGCAGTCCCCAACAACAGTCCTGGTGAAAAAGTACTACTACAGATGTGGGTGTTGTATGAGGTGGGACTTTCCTTTGGACCGCCTAGCACAAATAATGACATACAAACAAACACTTTTTTTTTTTTTTTTTTTGGTTTTTCGAGACAGCGTTTCTCTGTAGCTTTGGAGCCTGTCCTGGAACTAGCTCTTGTAGACCAGGCTGGCCTCGAACTCACAAAGATCCACCTGCCTCTGCCTCCCGAGTGCTGGGATTAAAGGTGTGAGCCACCACCGCCCGGCTCATGCTGTATATATTTTTTTTTTTTTTTTGGTTTTTCGAGACAGGGTTTCTCTGTGGCTTTGGAGCCTGTCCTGGAACTAGCTCTTGTAGACCAGGCTGGTCTCGAACTCACAGAGATCCGCCTGCCTCTGCCTCCCGAGTGCTGAGATTAAAGGCGTGCGCCACCATCGCCCGGCTGTATATTTTTAAAAGGTTCTAAAACTCTGGGGTAGTGGATTAAGTAGCACAAATAATAAAAAAACCCAGAGGCAGATATTGGGCTTCAACCTGAAGATCAGAAGAACAAAGCAGCCAAGCCATTAGAGAGTTCTTACCGCTATGAAATCTTCATACCGAAAGAGAGTGAGTTCCTGTCTCATCCTGCCTTATATTCCTCTCTGTGCTGGGATTAGAGGTGTGCTCCACCACCACCCAACCTCTATGGCTAACTAGTGTGGCTGCTGGGATTAAAGGTGTGTGCCACCACTGGCCTGTATGACTGACTAGTGTGGCTGCTTTGCATTCTGATCTTCAGGCAATTTATTAAAATACAATGAAATATCAAAATGAGTATATATATATATATATACATACATACATACAGCATGATTTTGTTTTTAAAGATGCAGATGACAAGAATAGGAGAGACCTTACAAAGAAGGAAGCCTGGAGTCATTCTTTACTTCTATATAACAAGGCAAAAGTGTCAGCTTTGTGTGCACATACTTGAATGCAATTATGTTTTCTAAGGTAAGTTTTTATTTTCCTCTGTTACCTAATTTTTCCACGTAAGTTTTATTAAAGACATCTAGCCATTCCACTCTATTGAGATAGTAATTATTAATTCAATGGATTTGTCAAGATTCTTTAGTGATTTGTTTGGGTTTTTTCTTTTCAATATTTTAATTTTTTGGATTTAAAAGTGCTTACCTGCAATTAAGTGTGTGCATGCACACAGTAACCAGGCGTGTGCTTGCACGCAGTGACCAGAAAGATCAGAAAAGGGAATCTGATCCCTGGACTGGAGTTCCAGCCGCTATGAATGGCCATGTGAAGGCTTCCTACAGTCCCTAACTGGGGAACCACCTACTGAGCTCTGTTTAACTCACCTCCCTTCCACACTAGAGGTTGAGGGTTCTGCTCTATCTGGGTAGAGCTTGAGGGTACACAGGGGGAGCTCTGCCAGGGCTGCTATCACCTCACCTTTAATTTCCCCCAGCATTTGGCAGCGTCAAGGAGCGGCAGGGGGCAACCATAAGCAGTAATGCCGTCCTGTATTACAGCCTTGGGGTAACAGCACCCTTAACCCTACAACCAGTCCAGTCTTCTCCAGTAGCATGGGTTAGAGCTCTCAGCTTGGGGTCTGGAGCTCCTGGCCCTGCAAACATGAATGCTCTCTATTTTTCCGGAGCTTCTCTGGCTCCTAAAAACTTTTTTTATGTTTTGTTTTTTGTTGTTGTCGTCGTTTGTTTGTATAACGGCCCTGACCATCCTGGAACTCACGCTGTAGACCAGGCTGGCCTCGAACTCACAAAGATCCTCCCACCTCTGCCTCCCAAACGCTGAGATTAAAGGTGTGCGCCAACACGCCTGGCTAGAATGTGATTCTTTTAATGCAATTGCACGTTTAATGCAACTTTGCATAGCTGGATTTTTAAATGAGTCCATCTGAGAAATTAAATAAATGTAATTGCAAAGCTAAGCGCAGCCTGTTTCCCCTCATCTTATTTAAGACTTTCGCATGTGGCTGTGTGAAGAAGGGCTGAGCATTTCCTCTAGCTGCACAGTGTGATGGCCATTTGGATTGCTCATGCGATTTTGCTATTAGAAGCAATTGTGTTACAAATTGTGCCCTTCCTTTTTCACCTGTGACGGTTTCCCTGGGAATACAGACAGCGGTGTGGATCTGCAGGGTCCTCATCCCTGCGCACCTTTAACGTCCACAGAAGACTGGCAGCAGCCTCTTCACCGTGCCAGAAACAGAAGACCGTTTAGGGGATGTATCCTTCCCTCTATGTAGTGAACGCCTAGAGTTTGTGCGTGTGAGAGGGAAGCTCTTCAGTCTTGTTCATTACGCAGGAATCTTCTACAAGGACAGGGGCACGTTAAAAGGCTAGGGTGTAAGAATTTAGAATGTCGGTCAGGAAAGTGGTGAGGGTGAATAACTGGGGAAGCAAAGACCACTCTTCTGGATGTTTCTCTCCACTGGAAAACACTGCGCAAAGGGTAGAAAACAATCAGGATGCACTCTGCTGTGCTAGGGATAGGCACACACTTTCCCACGGGGCGGGGCGGGGCTTAGGGAGGCAGGAGGCGGGGTCTGTGGCGGCGCAGCCCCGCCTTCCCGAGCAGGACAGCGGCGGTGACGCCATGGAGCGGGCGCAGACGGGCCGGTCGAGCTCGCGCAGGCGCCGGGCGAAGGAGCGCGGCTCAGCAGCGGTGACAGAGGAGCGCAGCTCCCCGAGGGAGGCGGCAGGCGGCATGGGCGCGGGCCCGGCGCTGGTCGCGCTGCTGCTGGCCGGCTCGGTGCTGAGCGCCACGCTACTCGCCCCCGGCCGCCGGGCGGAGCAAGGTGAGCGGCCGCACGGGCTGGGGGCAGCGGGGACCGTGCGTGGGCCTGCCCGGGACGACCTCCGGGGCACAGGACCTGAGCGAGGCGCTGGCTCCTCTCTGGGGTGGGATGCAGTGGGAGCTGCAACCCGGGAGCCCGGCCCGGCCTGGCTTCCCAGGTTCAGTTCGCGGGCGCCCGGGTTGAGTGCTCAGTCTGGCTCCGAGTTCACTATGGGAAGGGGTGGGGGAAAAAAGGAATTCTGGGAGTTCCCTCGACCCCAAGGTTCCAGGGTCCTGCAACACCGTTCCACAAACTCCTTTCGAAGCTAGCTTGGCTCAGGGACTGAGGCAGGTGGACAAACTCCCTTTGCGCATTGTATAAGGTAGGGCCTATCATCCTGCACGGTGTGTCGCCTGCCTCTTCCCCACCGTCCACCCCCTTTTCCGGCTCAGAACTTGGATGTGGCTTCTGTGAGAAACACCCCCCCACACACACCTTCCAAACTTTAAAAATACATTGAAGTAATGCAAAGAAGTACAAAGAAAGATGTAAGAATTCAGGGTTTTAGGCTTGTCGTTGGGAGGAGCGATTTTTAAAAATCATGCTGAGTTTGGAGTCTGGTCAGGGTGTTTGAACTTGTTGTTGCTGTTCTTTTTGAAGCTTCCCAGGCAGTTCTGATGTTCAGCTAGGCCTGAGGGATTCTGTATAGTCCTGACTACCATAGTAACATTGGCAAGAGCTTTGCGAGTCTAGAATCCACAAGGGAAATCGAAGCACCACTCAGGACGAAGAAAAAGAAGTATAGTCGTTCCAACCACCAAGGGATGCTGAAATGATAGAGAAAAGATGAACAGGTGCACAGGGGATTAAACTCGAAAAGGAAGATAGTCAAATATGGTGTGGAGAGATTTGTCTCCAGGTGAACTAACTGGCAGTTCTTCTAAACGACCCAGGTTCGATTCCCAGTATCCATATGACAGCTCACAGCCATATATGACTCAAAGTTTTCAGGGTTCTGATGCTATTTTCTGGCTTTTTGGGGGCACCAGGTACTCGTGTGGTATATATACATGCATGTAGGCAAGGCATCCAAACGCACTTAAAGAAGTTATCAGGAAAAAAAAATGAAAAAAAATACGACAAAGATAAAACAACCAAGCAAACCCAAGGCTACCTGTGTTTAAGAGAGGGATTAAATAAGTATTACAGCCAATCATAGGCTAGGAAAAGTCATGCAGCCAATCACAGGATAGGAAAACAGTCATGCAGCCAATCACAGGATAGGAACACAGTCATGGCATGCATTTGGAGGACCTGTTCAAAGCTCTGTTTTCTATTTATCAGCTGGAAAGTGAGAGAGAAATCCAAAGGCCGATGAAAAACAGAGATCCCCAAGCAGATACACTTCCTTCCTGGAGTGTGATAATCTAGGCTGTAGCTGACTGACCTCCACTTAGACCTGCCAGCTAGCAAGCAGCTTGTGACCTTCAGCCAGCTGGTTGATTTCCCTAGGTCTCACAGTGGTGCCTCCCTGGAGCCCCAGCTCTTTGGGAGACTGAAGCAGAAGGATCCCTGAAGCCCACAGTTCAAGGCCAATCACAGCAATGCAGAGAAACCCCAACTGGGAGGGGGAAGGAGGACACTTAATATATAAGTCTTTTGGGATGTGGCACGTAGTGAGAAAGTCACTGCCAGCCCCACTAAATAGGACTGGAATTTCACAGTACTTTTGAGATTGTATTAAAATCTTTGAAAGACTATTTTGGAGGGGAAACGTCACTCATGAAAGTTCATTCTCTGGGTACTTTGTTTAAAGAATAACATACAAGGCTCAGAATGTCTCAGCACTGAAGTGTGTTGTCAAACCCGACTGCTTGAGTGGGGTCCCTGAAGCCTACATGATGAGGGGAGGAGCCACCCCAGTCCCTAAATGATTATCATCTTTGTGCAACCCTAATGATGTCATCTAGCAAGCCGTGACCTGGACCCCTTATTGAATGTGAAAACGGAGTTTCCGCCCTTCAATCGTCTCCCACACTTGTGACTCCTTCAGATCTGGAGATTCAGAGTCCCCCACCAGAATGAGGAGGTAGAAGAGGTCTAGAATATTAAGAGGCAAAACCTCCTAGGAGCCTTGCCCACCTGCTTATGAGAGCTGGGAGGGAGGGCTGCGACTGCATTTACCTTTTTCTTTTACTGCTCCTGTCAGTGTAAGTGGGACTTGGTTCCATTATTAGGGTCCCAAGAACCTAGGCCTGGCAGCTGCCCTTGGCTTTGCTTGGCCTTGGGTTGGAGGCTGAAGGAGTGGCAACAGCACACAGCTGGTAAGTGCACGTAGGTGTAGCACTTGGGGCCGGTCTTCAGTTTTGCTTCTGGGAGAGCTGGATGATGCCTCTATGTAAGTGCAGCAGTCGGTGCAGGCTGGACTGTTTCTAGACTGCGTAGGCCAAGAGCGTGAGGTCACACTCCGGCTGCCGTTGCTGTGTATCAAGACCTGGTGGTCAGGTTGGGCCCCATGGCTGGATCTTGGCCGTGATATTCTCAATGAAGTCATTGGGCTGGATATGGAGGGTGATGATCTTGTCTGCCATTGCTTTCATACACATCTGTCTGTATCTTGGTGTCTCCTCATATAATGTTTATATGTATGGGTGTCTTGTCGGCATGGATGTCTCTGTACCATGTGCATGCCTGGTACTTGCAGAGGCCAGAAGAGGGTGTCAGATCTCCTGAAACTGCAATTACGGATGGTTGTGTATTGCCATACGGGTGCTGGAAGTCCAACTTGTGTCCTCTGGAAGAGCAGTTAGTGCTCTTAATGGCTGAGCCACCTCTCCAGCCTTTGATGTCTCTTGTTGCCTCCTTGGAGAGGTAGAGCTGCAGTCTGCATTTGTAACAAGTTGCGGAGGCTGAGCTCATAACTAATGTGGTAAAGTCTAGACATGGGAATAATAGACTCTTGGTTCAGATCATTGATTTCATTGGAGAGCTGTGGCCCTGGGCAGGGGCAAAAGCCGTGGGATTTGTTCTTCTGCAAAACAGAAAAGAGCCTAGCTCATGACCTCCGTATTATTCAGTGAGTGTTACCTCCTCAGACAGTCCTCACACCCTGGATGGGAATGGTGCTGACGGGACCTCAGTTGTAGCTGAACCATCTGTGCAAAGGGCCTCTGCGTGTGGCACTGCACACAGGTCACGGGGCATTGGGCTGAAGACTGCACATGTTCCGGCCTGTAGTATTTGTGAAGTACTAATACTGTGTTTGTCTGTCTCCCTCTGGTGCTCTGGGTTTTTGGTTCTTTTGTTTTGTAACTTTTCTTTTCGATCCTTATCAGATGTAGATGAGAAGAGGCCTGTGGAGCTGAAGATGGATCAGGCTCTGCTTCTCATCCACAATGAACTATCGGGAACAAGCCTAACCGTCTACTGGAAATCTGAGTCCTGTTACCAAGTGCGTATCGTCTGCATCCTCTCCATTTGCTTCGGGTCTTGTTTGGTACTCCTTCCAGACACAGTTCTGATGTCTAAGCCCTATTCTTGTTCCCTTCAGATTTACAGGCAAGGAAACAAAAATAGTTTATAGTAAAGAACTAGATGGAATATGATCAAGGGAGAATGTTTGGCAGTGATTGGTGTGCTCTGCTGCCGACACCACCACTGGCTAAGACGATTCTTATCCAGTAATTTCACTTTTGGAAATTTACATTAAGGAAAGAATTTAAAGGAGTAAGAACCTCATGGGTAGATATTTTAAAATAATAAATTTATATGACAAAAATGTAAAGCTACAGTAGAAAATCCTGGAAGACATAAATACCCACGGTGCTTATAGTTGGTGACATATGTGTAGTAAATAGAAATATGTAAAATAGGATCCTGTAAATTGGTTAAATAATATTGAAACAATAGAATGCAAGATTTAAAGTAGGCTGTATTTATTAACTTGTGAAAAGTTTACCTATACATAAAGATGGTTCAATTCCATCATGGCAGTCATTATTTTAATATAAAATGGGCAAATTTTATCTGCATTACTGCAGTTTAAGTTTTTTAAAATACAGGAAGAGTTAGGATTTTTTTTCTCTTGGATATCGTGTCCCCCAACCACTGACAGACTTTGAAGACCCCGAACAGGACGAGAGGTGCAGTTTATGGGAAGGCTCCTACCTAACAGCTCAGGGCCCTGCCAGATGACAGTGGCTCCTAGTCTGAGAATGAGAACACCCTGCATGTGCCTGCTGACTTTGTCTCCACAGTGCACCTTCCAGCCTCTGGCGAACGTCTCTCACAGTGGCAAACCTGCGAAGCCACGCGTTACGGCCGTCTCAGTGAGCACCCAGCACGGGTCCATCCTACAAGTCAATTACACCCAGGGAGAGACTGCAGCTTGCAGGTCCGTACCTGCTCGTTGTGGTCTGATTTGAGTCTGCTTTTCCTTTTTTATTTTTTTCTGCATGGTTTTGCTTTTCTTCTCCTTAAAATATTTTTTTTAATCTTCCTGAATTTATATCGTTCCTTGCTGATGGCATTAGCACAGCCTAGCTCCAGTGGTTCTCAACCTTCCTAACACGGTTCCTCATGTTGTGGTGACCCCCAACCATAAAACTATTTTGTTTCTACTTCATCACTGTAATTTTTCTGCTGTTGTGAGTTGTTTATCAATGTCTGATATGCGGGATACTGATAGTCAACCCCACAGGGTCTGGACGCATGGGCTGAGAACCACTGGTCTAGCTCCTTGTTTCCACGTGTAGCCGTTGGCCTTCATTTTGCCTGCTCTTTTTAGGCTGGAATACAAATTTGGAGAATTTGGAAACTATTCCCTTCTGATCCAGCATGCTTCCCCTGGAGCCAGTGAAGTCGCCTGTGACCTAGTTGTCAACGAGAATCCAGTTGACAGTAACCTTCGTACGTATATGCTTCATTGTTTTCTTAAGTTTGTATTTTCAAAGTTTTCGGTCTCCTTGCATCTGACACTTCATGACGTGGTCATTCATTTAAAACATGGATTATGTATTACCACTACCGTTCATTTGTGGCACAGTTGGAGTTGATTTTTGGTGCTGGGGATTAGAATCAGGACCTCACCCATGCTAAAGCATGTATTCTATACCTCCAATCCCATTTGGTGGCTTTGCTATGTCATAGATACATATGAAGAAAATTATGTGATATAGCTCCGTATTTTGATATCGCTGGGTTTAAGCACATGTGGGAAGAAACTAGAAATAGGGCAGTTAACTTTCTGTTTGGGGGGTTAGGGCATGCATAGTGTTTCCTGGGAGCCTTGACACTGACGGCTCCTGAGGTCCCCTCACAGTAAGGGACATCCTTCATTGTCTCATAGCTCCACGGCAGAGCATCTGTCCCCTGAGCCCTCTCTAGTATTATTGTGTGTGATACTCTTTAAAGAACAACCGGGGACCTTCGTGTCATTAGTAAGTTCTTTTCACAGAGAGCTAAGAGTGACGTTATCTCAAAAGAATGTAGATCCCTTACCAAGGGAGCATTGTGGGCAGCCCACGGAGTTAAAAGAGTAATGAGGCCCAGCGAGATGGCACAGCAGTTAAAGCCCTTGCTACCAAGCCTGAGGATCCAAGTTCAGTCCCCTGGAGCTCACATGGTAGGAGAGACCAGACTCCTGCAAGCTGGCCTCCGACCTCCGCACACGCACAGTGCAGCACACGTATGTACACACTAAAATTAAATGTAAACACAGTTAAAATGTAATAAGTGTTACTGATGAAAAACTAATGTGTAAAAAGTATAAAAACTGCAGGGTTATTATGAAACAAAGAAGAGGAAAATAAGAATAATGCTTAAGTTGCCTTTGGAGTAAGTCACAGGAGCCCTTAATATGGACGGTAACTTAAAGTTGTCTGTTGAGGGTCATTGAGATGGCTCAGCAGGCAATGGTGCTTGTTGCTGAGCCTGGACCTGGAAGCCACTGTGTGCTGTGACACCAGATAGACAGGCTCTTGCCAGCTTAGCGTGTCTCTGTCACACGGTCAGCTGCAGGTGCCTCCTCAGTGTGTATGTATGTCGCGTGGTCAGTTATAGGCGGTGCCTCCTCAGTATGAAAGAGTTGTTGGTAGCTTTGCATGAGACTGTTTGTGAAGAAGTTTTAGGTTTACAGATATGTTACAGAAAGTTTCTGGACACCCTTTATCTAGCTGTGTGTATGTCCTTAAACTGTATAATCATACTATAATTACCCTGTATATAATCATTGGGGCCAGGGACTTAGCATTTACACAGCCCCGATCTATACACGTTTAAACGTCTCAAGTTGTCTTTTTTAACATACATTTGTTTATTTATTCTGTGGTTGGTTCCACAGTCCACGTGTTGTGGAGTCAAAGACAACTTTGGGGCTTTTGTTCTCTTCTTCTTGTTCCTGGGGTTGGAACTCAGGTTGCAGGCGTGGTGGCAAGGGCATTTATTGCTGAGCCATTTCCCCTGGTATCGCTGCTCTCACTCAGGAGCTGGTCTAGGATCCCACGTTGCATTTAATTGTCAAAACTGCCTTGTCAGTGTCCTCTTGGCCTTGCTTTGTCTTTCATGGCCTTGATGGTTTTGAGAACTGGTTGTTTAGTAGACTGACCCTGTTGTGTGGTATGACAGGAGACACACGAGGTCACCAGACCTTCTGCAGGACCCTTGTCTCAAGAACACAGTGAAGTACATAGGGATGAAATGAACAAGGAGAAGGGACTCAATAGATGAAACCTTGCAATACTGTTTTTGTTTTCCTGAAGATAGAACCCAAGTGCTTGAAAATGCAAGGTCAGTGCTCCACCACTGAGCTGCGTCCCCAGCTCCGAGGGAGACGGTCTTTTGATGATAGTAATCAATCATCCAGGAACTGAGTGATGGATGCGCTGTGAGCGTGTCATGTAATGCTCCTGCATGCTTTGTTCTTAATTGTTTGTACAGCGTTTAGCATAGGAGTGTGAGCTTTGCTCATATTTGCTTCCAGCTGTCACTGACAGGGTAATGTGACGCCCCAGCAGCTTTGATACTTATGATGACGTTTTAAGGATAATGTTTTCTTCTTTTATAGCTGTGAGCATTGCATTCCTTGTTGGTCTAGCCCTCATCATCGCGATATCTTTCCTGAGGTTCTTACTGAGGTAAGTTGTTGAGGAGAACATGACCGGGAAACAAAGCCCAGAAATAATATACCCAGAAAGGGTGATTTGGCCCTCCATTGGCTGCTCTTCCACCTCAGGACAGTCACCAAAAGGAGGCACACAATGACTGTTAGTATTTGTTCAGCAAGTGTTTGTGCATCTGCCATGTCTGTTCCAGTCCTGGCATCCGAGCAGACTGTAATGTTGTCTCTGACTGTAGGGCATGCTCACAGGGTGCAAACGGGTCTTTGCCTTTATTCTCCCAACATGGCTGAAGATGGAGATGTTTGAGAAATGTTTAGTTCCTAAAGAATCTCCTGGATTGAGTTTTAGAAGGTTGCCACACTGGTTTCTTCTCCACCCCTCAGCTACATCTTCCTCTACTTCCCATTAGCTCAGGAGTCTGGGGGCCAAAGTCTGCACAAGGGCACCATGTCACGTAGGACCTCAGTGTGGATTCCTTTTCCTATGGGCAGAAGCATCTGCTTGGAGGAGAGGGCATTTGGCCTTCTCTGCCTGGTTAACAGTGATCCTGGCGAGTGAACCAGTAGACCAGACAAAAAAAATAGAGCAAACTCAATAAACCAAACAGGCTGGTTTAATCAAGTTGAAGATTTAATTTACTTTTAAAAAGTAATCTGTATGTGTTTGTATGTGTCTGTCTCTGTGTATCTGTCTATTTTTGTCTCTCTCTCTCTGTGTCTGTGTGTGTGAGAGAGAGAGAGAGACAGAAAGACAGACAGAGAGAGAGAGAGAGAGAGAGAGAGAGAGAGAGACAGACACCACAGAGGCCAGAGGGGTGTGTGCGTGTCCGTCCGTCCATCTGTCCGTGTCCACAGAGACCAGAGGCATTGGATCCCCTGGAGCTGGAGTCAAAGTAGTTGTGAGCCACCCTCTGTAGGTGCTGGGACCCAAACTCAGGTCTTCTTTAAGAACAATATGCATTCTTTATTGCCAAGCCATCTCTCTGCCCTTTAATCAGCTGTAAAGGAAAGTTCTTTCATGTTTTAAGGGAAGAAGAAGAATGATGGTCATGTGACACACACACATGTAACCCCAGCAGTCAGAAGGTAGAGGGGGATTTGGAGTTTGGGTTCAGAGCCAGCCTTGACTCCATAGTGGAACTGGTCTAGGAAGGAAGGACAGACAGCAGGAAGAGAGAGACTGTATTCTCAGATGTTCATCCCTTAGGGTCTTGGGTCTCCTGAAGGACCACAGACTTCATTAGGAAGCTGTGTTCTGTAACGAGTCTTTCTCTGTCCTGCTAGCCAGCTCCCAAATAATGACACGGAGACTTCCGACTTCTTTTTTTTTTTTTTTATTTTTCGAGACAGGGTTTCTCCGTAGCTCTTGTAGACCAGGCTGGCCTCGAACTCACAGAGATCTTCCTGCCTCTGCCTCCTGAGTGCTGGGATTAAAGGTGTGCGCCACCACCGCCCGTCCGACTTCTTACTAATTATGAAAGCTTGGCCTGTAGCATGGGCTTGTTCCTAACTAGCTCTTATAACTTAAATTAGGCCATTTGTATTCATCTATGTTCTATCTCCTGGTATTGTCTCTTTTTCATCTTGTACTTCCTGTTTCCCCTCTGTGTCTTCTGGTGTCTCCTGCCCCTGAATTCTTCCTCCTCTTCCTTTCTCTCCCTGAAACTCCCACCTATACCTCCTGCCTAGCTATTGGCTGAACGCAGCTCAATTGGTCTGTAGACCAGGCTGGTCTCGAACTCACAGAGATCCTCCTGCCTCTGCCTCCTGAGTGCTGGGATTAAAGGCGTGCACCACCATCGCCCGGCTCGCAGCTCAATTGGAAGTATTAAAATATAACCTTAGTTTGGCTGCCTTGAGGGAGCTTATATATTCTGACCTAACTTTGTGAGCTTTTGAAATTGTTTCATCCCATGTCTCGGAAACCTGACCTTATATTGGTAAGAGTCAGTTGCTGCTTAGGCATGACGATTTGATGCAGCAGCTTCCCGGGAGAAAACAGAAGCCTTGCAGTTTCATTTCTTTGGAGCCAGGTGTTGGCTTGTCAGTCTCTGCTGAGATGGACATGCTGTTCGACTGTTGCGGTGTGCTCTCTCTTGGTGCTCTGCGTGTGCCTGGCTCTGTCCCTTTGCTCCATCGTAACAGAGCTGGAATGAGGTTTTTGCAGGGAGGAGCCATTCATCTTGCCATCTTGGCCCTGTGTAATTGGACTAATCTTTACCTCTCCTGCAGAGGGGTGAGCTCAATGCTCTGGCGGAGGGGAGCTAAAGGCCACCCCTTGCTCTGTGGTTTCCCAGCACACCTGTGTAAGTTAAGGACGTTTTACAGGCCAAGAATGATGTCCCCCTTCTCTTGGAGAAGAAACAAAGACAAGTGTCTATTTACTTTTAAGTGTTTCAGCCTCTCTGCTTTGGTGCTTCCTCGAATGTGTCTGTGTTAATGTTTCACACCACAGTAATGCAGGCAGGGCCATGTGGACCGGAAATGGTCCTGGTTTGTAAGAGGTGTTACAAGCGGAAGCACGGGCTATGTGAATAGCACGGGCTATGTGAATTTTATGTGGACCTGGTTTGAACATTTGAAGTGTGAAGAACATCTACCAGCCACCAGACTGAGCAGGCTGTGAAGATAGCAAGGAGCATTGCTGTCATTTGAATTGCAGTGATGGGAAACCTGCATGATGGCACTTGTCACTACCTGACGACCTGACCCAACCCGGTTCCACGTGAATGGAGAGAACCAACTCCGGCAAGCTGACCTCTGACCTCCACACATGGCCCATGCGCATCTCCCCCACATAATAAATAAAGAAAGCAGATTAGACTATGATAATATTGTGGTTGTGTTTAGAGACAGAACAGTGTTTCCCTTTTACAGAGACCTCAGTGTTTCTGGATCAGGCGGTTTCGTGCCCGGGCTTTCTTTACAGTACGGAAAGGCAATGAGTCAGGAGGGGAAGTTAGGGGAAGTAAGATTGCCCACGTGTGGATATTTGAAGCTCAGTGACTCATTGTATTTATCAAAGCATATGGATGGCTTTGTTTGAAAGCAAGCTGAGATATAACTTTTGGGTTCTTTTGGTTTTTTTGGTTTTTCAAGACAGAGTTTCTCAGTGTATCCCTGGCTGTCCAGGACCTCTCTGTGTAGTTTGCCCTGGCCTTGAACTCAGAGATCCATCCTCCTCTACCTCCCAAGTGCTGATATTAAAGGTGTGCAACACCATGCCTGGCAAGATAGTCTGGTTTTTTTTGTTTGTTTGTTTTTTATGTGTGTTTATGTGTGTGTGGCGGGGCATACACATGTGTGGCGGTCAGAGGACATCTCTTGGGAATCAGTTCTTTCCTACCTTATGGGTTCCTGAGATCAAGCTCAGGTTGTCAGCCTTGGTGGCAAACATCTTTACTTAGTGAACTGTCTTGTGAGCTGGAGATCTTTGCAAAGATTTATACCCAAGTAGAGATCTCATCTTAAAGAAAATCAATGAATGTACTTACTCTTTTGTCAACCATGTAGATGGGTTTAATTTGTAAATTAGGTCAACCATACAAATAAAAGAATTGCCAATGGATGCTCTCTCCAGCTTACTCAGTGTGTGTGTGTGTGTGTGTGTGTGTGTGTGTGTGTAGTTACAATCACATGAAGGGTGCTTTTTGCTTTTTATATGTGCTCGCTATTTCTTATGTGTTCTTTTAAGTCATTCCTAATTGAGTGGTCATGGTTGTTGCCATGTGCCTTCTGATTTTCATGGCAGTAAGAAGCCTGGTGTCATGAGATTTTCAGGGCCCTTTGAGTTGTCACCACTTGTTCTTACTGACGAGGCGACCACAGACTCTACTCTGTTTTGCCATTTCTAAAAGAACTTTGATGATGCTTATGGAACTTAAATTTTATTCCAGTAGCTAGTCATTTTGAAAATATTACCATTCAAGAAAGAAAACTAATGGGGGCTTTTTTTTTTTAATACAGTTTGGAAGACTTCAATAATTGCATTTCTAAGGCAATAACTTCTCGAGAAACTGACCGCCTCATCAATTCTGTGAGTTATTCGAGTCTGCATGTGTTGTCTGGGAGGTATTCTGGATTTGAATTTATAATTTCCCTTTCAGTGAGCATCATTGTTCCACCTAATGCATTTCAATTATATTGTGGAAAGTCAGACTGTATGTTCTGAATGTTTTCTCTGTGTGTATGCTACACAGACTCTACCTGCTGCAACATTCCTGGCCAGGACCTGGATTCTTCCTGTCTGTTGGGATTATCAGTGCAGGCCGCATTCCCTGCATGCTTGCTTACATGCTTCCTTTTCTTTCCTTTCTCTCTCTCTCTCCTTCCTCTCTCTCTTTCTTGGAGACAGGCTCACATATAGCTTAAGCTGACCTCTAACTTACTGTGTAGGATATAGCTAAGGATAGCCTTGAACTCCTAATCCCCACTCTTGGCCACCTCCTGAGGGCTGAGATTGCAGGCAGACGTCTTGGTGATGGGGCAGATGTGCTAGAGAAGCGTCTTTCCGGCTGGGACAGTCCTCTCACATCTGTTTTTGTATTTTATTTTATTGCTTATTTGTTAACATATGTGTATGAGAGAGACACACGCGTGTGAGTGTGCGCATGCATTGCTGTGGCCTGCGTGTAGAGCTCAGAAGACAACCTGTGCGAGTAGATTGTCTTCTTCCGCTGTGGGCTCTGTTATGAGGCCTGTGCAGCAGGCACTTCAAGCACAGCCTTCTTGCTAGCCCCCAACTTGTCCTTAATAAAGAGCAGCCTTGTCCTTGTCTTCTGTGGAGGGCCCATACCCTCTCCCCTCTCTTTCTCAGTAAGGGTAGAAATCTGGGCTGCCTTAAGATGTACAATTTTTCATTCAGCAGCCAGCCCTGTTTGAAAATAAATGAGCCAAAACATCAGAATTAAATGTGTAAATGTTGATGGCCATTGTAATGACCAAATATGCTATTATATTTGGACTAATGAATTTTCAGGAACACCTTTGTTTTCATGTCGGTTCTGGACTAACTAAGAACCAGTTCACACCTTATTTTTTTTTTGGTGCTGAGGGCCTGAACACATGGCTCTCCTGACACTGAGTTAACCCTCAGCCCCAGACCCATTTCTTTGTGTCACTGTCAACACGACTACCAGCAAACTCCACAAAGTGGAGAATAAAACCTCGGAATGCCGTCTTTACAAAACCAAATTATTGTCCCAAAGTTATCCTTACGTTTCCACTCTGATTTCTGTGCTGGGATACCACATAATGAAATCTATTCCTGAGCCTTGTTAAGTACCATGTCTTTCTCTCTTTGTTTGGAAGGAGCTAGGATCCCCAAGCAGAGCAGACTCCCTCAGTGATGACTGTCAACCAGAAACACGACGTGTGCCTGCCTCGCCTTACCGTCTCCGATGCGTGGACACGTTTAGGGGGTAAGTGGGACTCATAACGTGGTGGATACGGATGGGTCTATTTCAGATTTTGTAGTTACACACAAGCCCATTTTTAGCTTAAGGTATTTTATGTGTTTACTGGTATGGTGTTGCATTCAGCACCCAGGAGGCTGAGGCAAAAGGACTGCTGAAAATTCAAAGCCAGCCTGGGATAGCTAATAAGACCTTTTATCAAAAAGACAAAAAAATAATATAATGTCTGCATCCTCTCTGTCATGACAAGGGCCAGAGTGTGGGCAAACCACTGGCGTAGCTTGTGCTTGGCTCAGAGGTCATTCCCAGTACCACAAAAATCAAACAAGAAAAGTGAAACAAAAGTCAGGGTCACCGTGAGGTGGAGAGAGAAAAGAGGAGGAACACAGCCAGAACCAGTTTCCACCAGTTTCTGCTAGTATGTTCAGTGGTCTGGGCAAGGGGCTCTGTTTAGGCCACACTGCCAGCTCGGAAGGCACGCCAGCCCATGGCTGCATCTCACCCTTCGCGACTACTCTGCCAGCAGACAGAGTGAGAGGCCATTTACAGGAGTTAATCCTCCCCTTCTACCATGGGGGCTGTGGTCTTTAGGCCTGTAGTGTCTTTACCAGCTGGGCCATATGGTCAGCCCAAGTGTAAATTTTTCTTGAGATACTGTGTTGAAATGTTGGTGGCCGAGCATCCTTGTGTGGCCCCTCATAGTGAGCACCAGATAATTGTATCTTAACCTGTCTACTTGTGCCATCAGCTGCTCTGTAGAGTCGCACTATCATGTGATACCCCTTGTGTGAAAGCGTCTGTCCTTCAGGGGTTGTGTCAACACCGCCCCCCTTTGTTTACCTTATAGGCTAGCCCTCATCCTCATGGTCTTTGTCAACTACGGCGGAGGAAAGTATTGGTACTTCAAGCATTCCAGCTGGAATGGTAAGTTACTGGTCCCCCAGCCTGACCCCCAGAGAGACTGGGGGATGACACAGCATTACCTGTGGGCCTCCCACCCTAGCTTACTCAGGGGCCCTTGAGTTTTGTTCTCCCATGGAGCTAGAGTGATTCTCTGTAAGGAAGCGGAGACTGGATTTTTCTGCTATGAGACAACAGGTCTCCACAGGAAGTAAAAAAGACTTGGTTTTACACGATCATTTTAAGGCTACTGTGTTCTTGGGGACTCTGCCTTCTAAGACTTACATCTTTCTTGGGGTGCAACTTACGAAGACCAGTCTGAGTGGCCCTTGATAATAGCTATAAACCTGGGTGTATAGTTGCTGGAACCAGGAGAATGATGGACTACCTCATCGTTACAGACATGGTTCTTTTTTTTTTTGGTTTTTCGAGACAGGGTTTCTCTGTGGTTTTGGAGCCTGTCCTGGAACTAGCTCTTGTAGACCAGGCTGGTCTCAAACTCACAGAGATCCGCCTGCCTCTGCCTCCCGAGTGCTGGGATTAAAGGCGTGCGCCACCACCGCCCGGCTACAGACATGGTTCTTGAGAACTTTTAGTTGCCTTTATTTTGGCCAGACAGAATATTTTTATTTTGTAAAAATAAATATTTTTTACAATATAATTCTAAAATATAATTGCAAGAATATTTTTTATTCTTTAAAAGTCTGGGGAAGCCTCTAGAAGAGAGTTCATTGTGTTTGACCCAGGTTCCATGTATGGATGGTAGAGTCTGCAGCTGATGCAGCTCGATACTTGGTCCTGCAGTGGCCTCTGGACTTTGCTCAAGTATAAGACAAGATTCATGTGTTTGCAAAGCAGCTCAGCAGGTAAAGGTGCTGGCTGCTAACCTGCGCTCAATCCACAGTGTGGAAAGAGACTCCTGTACATTGTCTCTGACCTCTACACTTGACTCCCCATACATACATAATAAAGTTAACAGAACAATGTAGAACAAGAGTCCCCTCTCCTGTTCATACCTAAGAGCAGCTTCTCTCTTGTGTGACTGAATGGTTTCACTATGTTCCCTGTTGGACATTCTGCTGGGAGACAGGGAGTGGACACTGTCTCCCAGTGGAGGCAGAGAATAGGTTTCGACCAGTACTACTGCACAGACTCGTCCACAGACTCCTAGTGTGAGTGGTTTACAGGGAACCCTCCCAGCCCCGGGTCCAGTGCCTTATGTGGCTCCTGGCTGTCTGTTGTACTTTCTGTGTAAAAATGCAGTGCATACAAGTTTTGGAACTGGGAGGTGTTTTATCCTAGTGTCCTCCTTCTTACGTTTGTTCTCACGTCATTTTGCAGGACTGACTGTGGCCGACCTCGTCTTCCCCTGGTGAGCTGACAGTCTGTTGTGAGGGTTACGTACATTAGTGATTGACTCCAGTCACCCATGATGCCTTACTGATAATGACAGAAAGAGAGAACAGCACCTCCCCTTGGAGTCATTAACCACAACCTCTACCTCCCATTCCATCGTCTCCCAGCTCCTTGTCTGTCTGTTGCTAGGCTGTGTCTGTCCCTGTGCCTGTCTGTGGGTGCTGTGTGTGTCTCCCTAACATAGGGCTCCACTCTGCATTTGTCCAACAGCACAGAGAGCACCAATGGGGAGGGGAGGGGACACTTTACAGAACTCTTTAGTAGAGTTCTACAAGGGATGATGTCACTGGCTCCAGCTGATCCCAGCTGACCCAGACAGTAAGCACCATTGTTTGTCAACCACTGTCCATAACTGGTTGCTTTCAACCTTTATGGCAGATTTTAGGAAGTTGCTCTCAACCTCTGTATTCGCTGCTTTTGGCTATGATATACATACTTTCTCTGGGCCAGAGGCGTGGAAGAGTTGACCATTTAAGATTACAGCTATGCATTGCCTTGGCTGTAAGGTTGAAATCATGGGAGATCCAGAGCAAGTAAGGTTGGCTGTCACACTGTTCTCCTAAAGGTAGAGTAAGTGGACAGGCTGAGTACACAGTAGGACAGCCGTCATAAGTGACTTCAGGCTGTATAATAACCTGGCTGTGAGGGCCAGTGAAAGTTCCAGTCTCTTAGGATGTAAGAAATATTTTATAATATTGCATCACCACTGCCTGTCATCAACTCTTCCACAGATGGTCTCCTGCCCTTTGTCTTTGAAAGGCTGGAGCCCTGTCTGTGACCAGTTCTGGGTCATGAGCCTGCGCTTGTTGTGAAGCCCTAGCTAGCATAAGTTATGTTACTGTGCAGTTCGCATACCTGACATCATGTTTCTGCGTGTGTACTTGAAAGGTGTTGACATTGTGTGTTCGCATGGGGCTGGAGATTTAAACTGAGACCTTGTGTGCGCTCGGTATACCACCGCACCGTAGTCTCAGCCCCAGAGATGAGTGCTTTCATACGAAACACCTTGTTAGAACAGACATTTTCTACTTGATGCTGGACTCCTACCGTAAGTTCTGAATTTATAGGCAGGTTCTATATGTGTAAATCATATTTCTTAAAAATAGGTGTGGTAAACCGGTGTCTGTGAATATGGATGAATAGATAGCAGGAAATGATAGTTGTGACTTAAAACCTAATTTGATAGTAGAGTAGAAACTACTCTACTATCCCCAGTGGATTCTGGTCTTGTCAAGGCGTATTTCCTGTATGATGTGTTTACCCCAGTGCTCTGAGGAACTCTAGTGCTCCGTCACTGGAGACAGTTCCGGGAGAACGGTTCACATGTTGGGACTCTGGCATTTTATGACTATCATAGACTCAAGGTTTGGGGAGAAATGTTCAGTGTTTTGAGAGGATTTGGATAGATCGAGTGTTGTTTGCCCGAGATGTGGTGATGACCTCAGCATACTGTCTGCGCTGCTCCATTACTGCTCTGTGAGACAGCTACATCCTGGAAGGAAAGCCAGGGGCTCTGGGAGGCAGCCAGAGCAAGCCGCCTTTCCCTAGCCCTGAGCCAATAACTAGGAAGAGTATCCCGTTGTTTTGTATTGGCTGCTTTTCTCCTCCATGGGACAGAATACCTCACGGGAGCAGCTTAGAGGAAGAAGTTACCTTATCTCACGGATGTGTGGCAATGGGAGCATGAGGCAGCTTGCTCACACTTGGCAGCAAAACAGGAAGCAGAGTCTGGTGGCAGAAACAGGGGCTGCTCTAGTCCTCCAGCTCCACCCTGCAGCCCTGTGCTGGCCAAGTAGGCCTGGTGTCCAGAGGTCCCGTGATCTCTAAAACACCACCAGATGGCGACCAGCTGAACACATGAGCCTGTGGACATCTCAAATTCAATGTTTTTGGTTTTTTTTTTTTAAAGGAGACTTTACGTGTGTAAAGAAAGGAACAGGAAATCTGTGTGACTCCTACCAAATGGATACAGAGAGAGAGAGAGAGAGAGAGAGAGAGAGAGAGAGAGAGAGAGAGAAGAGAGAGAGAGAGAGAGAATTCTTTCAGGAGAAGGAATGAGTCTCTAAAAGACTCGAATGTTTTGTTTCTGAAGGACTTGGACCGTGTGTTAACGCAAGCCCCTTGGGTCAGTGTTGATAGCTCTCCTCTCTAATAAATGCTTGCAGTGGAAATAGTAAGTGGAAATCCCACTTACTATTAGCCAGCTTTCCTCGTGCAGCAGGACCGGAGATGTTCTGTCAGAAGTCCCTCCAGCAGGGCTGTGCTCGCCCCTACCGTATGATGAGGCTGTTTCAGTCCCTGGCTGCTGCAGACGGTAGCATGTCACCTCTCCTATAAGAAATGAAGGATGCATGTATAAAAAGTGGAAATACCACCTACCTAAAGCCTTTTTTTCTTTGTAGGTTTGTATTTATTATGGGATCTTCAATTTTCTTGTCAATGACTTCTGTCCTACAACGAGGATGTTCCAAATTCAGACTGCTGGGGAAAATCGCATGGAGAAGCTTCCTGCTAATCTGTATAGGAATTATAGTTGTCAACCCCAACTATTGCCTTGGTCCATGTAAGTATCTCTGCCCCTTTGTTTATATAGACTCGAGTTGCACTACGGAAAAGATTTTCTCCCCCCCTCCCCCCTCTCTCTCCAGCATTTGGGATCAAACCCAGGCCCTTTGCACAATGCTAGGCAAGCTTTTTGCCTCTGAGTCCCACGTGTTGTAATCTAATGTAATCCTTCCACCCGGATCCCTCCCGAAGGACTAATTTTTAGAAGAGTGTGTACCACTTGTATATGGCTGAGCACTGTTCCACTTAGCTTGGAAATTTAGTCATGGGCAGCAGCACTGTGACTCTCCGGTTCCTGTGATATAAAGGAAAAGTCAGGCTGAGTGGGACTGAAGTGTTGTTCTGGGTCAAGTATTCAGGGACAGAGGAGCAAACGGCCAGTCACTTTGTTCCTTGAACAGGGAGAATCTGTTCTTCCCTGTGTGCCAGCTGTGCTACTGGGAAAGGGAGTCTTGTCATTGCTTCTGTGACACCAGATGGTGAAGACAGGATGTCAGCCCCTTGCTTTGTACCAGAAGCACACGGGGAAGGCAGCAGTTACTGTCCCAGGGGTTCACCTTGCCTCTGGCAAAGGGGAACAGATACTCACACATCAGCCAAATCCAGCCCCCAGGCAGTAAGGGCCTTTACTGGAAGCCTGGGAACTTAGAGCAGTGATTCTCAATCTTTCCAATGCTGCGACCTCTTAATACAGTTCCTCAGGTTGTGGGGACCCCCAGCCATAGAATTATCTCATTGCTACTTCATAACTGTCATTTTGCTGCTGTTGTGAATCATAATGTAAACATCTGTGCTTTCTGATGGTCTTAGTGACCCCTGTGAAAGGGTTGAGAACCGCTGGCTTAGAGAGAACTCATTTTGGTGGACTCCATGTGAGGGTCTTCCCAACTTCAGGGGACCCTGAGGGTTTGCTCTCGGTTCTTTCCCCGGAATGTAGCCTGTAACCTATAGGTTGTACCGGGGGAACAGTGGTTTGGGTTTGGTCTGTGTGTTTTTAGTGACATAAGTGTTATATCCATATTCCTGATGGGTAAGGGCTGGGAGCTGGATTCAGTGCCACAGGGAGTCCCTGCTTTATCCCCCTACTGAGTGAAGATGGCTGGCTGTTTGTTTACAGAGGGCACCGTGTCCTCAGTCCATGTGTATTTCCGAGCTATGATAATTCACTTACAAGTAATAGAGATATGTCTTCCCTGCTATCTTGGGGTAAGACGTGTTGGGCTAGCTTAGCCTTCGGTGGCTTGTGTCTTTGGCAGTGTCTTGGGATATGGTGCGGATCCCCGGTGTCCTGCAGCGGTTGGGAGTGACGTACTTTGTGGTCGCTGTGTTGGAGATCATCTTCTCGAAGCCTGTCCCTGACAGTTGTACCTTGGTGAGAACCTTGTATGTGTGTGTCGGGGGGAGCCTTGGGGATTATTTATCAGGTGCTGTTCACCTTTTTTGAGTCAGGGTCTCTTATTGGCCTGGAACTCCCTGGGTAGGCTTGGCTTCTTGGCCAGTGAGCCCTAGGCATCCCTCCTTTAAATGGGTTCCTGGGTTAGAACCACGGTCCCCTACTGACTTACCCGCCTTCTCACCCACCAAAATCATTCTTTACACAAAGGGAGAATTCATGGAATGGTTTCCTGGATTTTCTTTTTTTTTTTTTTTATTCTTTTCTGTATCTTTTTAAAATTGATTCTTTGGAAATTACATATCATGTACCCCAATCCCGCTCATTTGGTTTTTCTGGATTTTTATAGTACATATAGTGTACCATTGTACTTTTGCTAATGAAATGCTTTTTTTCTGTTTCCATTAATTGTTTCTTTTTGTTTTTGTTTGTTTGTTTTGAGGCAATGAGACAGGATCTCACTACTATGTAGACCAGGTTGGTTTAGAACTCACAGAGACCCACTGGCCTCTGCCTCCTGAGTGCCGGGATTGAAGATGTGTGCCACTGCTCCGTACACTCTGTTTTTTCTTATTTTCCTGCTGTAGTGCTAGGGATTCAACCTGGGGTCTCACGTGTGCTGGACAAGTGTTCCACCTGAGCTAACCCTCCAGCCCACGGATGTCTAACGTCTTACTGCGATGCTTCAGAGTGCTAGAGCATCTGGCATCATCCAACACAGTAGATAATTTTGGGTTTGGTTTGGTTTTAGATAGGGCCTCATGTAGCCTAGACTGGCCTCAGACTTGCTGTGCTGCTGAAGATAGACTTCATCTCCAGATCTGTCTGCCTCCGCCTCAGGAGCCGCTGTACCCTACGTTACTAGATCAGTTTGTGTGTGCACGCATTCATACGTGTGCTTGTGTGTGCAGACCAGAGAACAACCCTGGGTGCTCGCATGTTCTCTTTTTGACATTGGGACTCTCGCTGGCCTGGGCCTAACCCAGTAGGCGAGGCTTGCTAAACCAGTGAGCTCAGGGCTCTGCGTTAGGATTGCAGGGCCACGCCACACACCAGCCCTTGCTGGACCAGTGAGCTCAGGGCTCTGCGTTAGGATTACAGGACCACGCCACACACCAGCCCTTGCTGGACCAGTGAGCTCAGGGCTCTGCGTTAGGATTACAGGACCACGCCACACACCAGCCCTTGCTGGACCAGTGAGCTCAGGGCTCTGCGTTAGGATTGCAGGACCACGCCACACACCAGCCCTTGCTGGACCAGTGAGCTCAGGGCTCTGCGTTAGGATTACAGGACCACGCCACACACCAGCCCTTGCTGGACCAGTGAGCTCAGGGCTCTGCGTTAGGATTGCAGGGCCATGCCACACACCTTCCCTTTTGCATTTCTTCTGGGCTTGGATTGAGGTCCTCACACTCCAGCTCAACCATCTCCTCAGTCAGATCAGTTTTTAAATTCTACTATAAAGGTCGAAACCCAGTCACTAGCATTTCCCAGGTTCACTCTGGCCTCACGTGGGCTGTTCTTGCCTCACTCAGGAGAGAAGCTGCCTTTCTCTTCAGGACATCACTTCCAGCTGGCCCCAGTGGCTCGTCATTCTGATACTTGAAAGCATTTGGCTGGCTTTGACGTTCTTTTTACCTGTCCCTGGGTGCCCTACGTAAGTGACCCCTTGCCAGGTAATCCCTTTGTGTCTGTGTTCTTGTTTGTGTGTGTACGTGTGTGTGCATGCACATCTGAAGGTTGGAGAACAGGTGTTATTCCACAGTCATCGATCCCCCCCCTTTCTTTTTGAGACATAAAGTTTGCCAAGCAGACTGGCCGATGATCCCCAAGGATCCACCTGTCTCCGCCTCTCCCCGGCTGGTATTACAAGTGTGTGCCATCATGCATGGCTTTCTTTTTTAATAAATTATTTTATGTGTATGAGTGTGTTGCCTGCATGTGTCTCTGCATGTCATGTGTGCACAGTGCCTGAGGAGGCCAGAAGGAAGCATTAGATCCCTGGAATTAGAACCTCCATGTGGATTCTGGGCATCGAACCTGCGTCCTCTGGAAGAGCAACTTGTGCTCTTAACCACTGAGCCATCTCTCCAGCTCCAATGCATGGCTTGGCTGGCTGGCAAGCTTATGTTCTCTCTTCTTTTCTTTTCTTTTCCTTTCCTTTTCTTTCCTCTCCCTTCCTCTCCTCTCCTCTCCTCCCCTCCTCTCCCCTCCACTTCCTTTCCCTCCCCTCCCCATTTGCTTTTTTCTTTTTTTTCTTTCCATGGGTTCTGGGAATCAAACTCAGGCCCTCATGCTTGCAAGGCAAGCACTTTACTGACTGAGCCATGGTAGTTCCTTTCTGTTGAATCAGAGGTAAGGCTCTATAGCATTAAAATTTCTCTGGTCAGAGAAATTCTCTCTCATACTTTCTCCTCTTTCTTTCCATGGAGAGGAGGGTTGAGTTGTCTCAACATCGCCCTGAGTAGAAAGTGCCTTCCAATGATAGGAACCCCTGCTGTCTGTTCACAGGGGTTCAGGGTCAGGGCTGTTGTGGGCCTGTTTGAGCCTGTCCTGCATGGCTAGCTACTGCTCAGTACTATCTCTTCTGTGCTCCTGTCAACTAAGTGTGCTTTTCACTTCCTTAGTGGCTACCTTGGCCCTGGCGGTATTGGGGACTTGGGGAAGTACCCTCGCTGTACTGGAGGAGCAGCTGGCTACATTGACCGCCTACTTCTGGGAGACAATCATCTGTACCAGCACCCCTCCTCCACTGTGCGTGAGCCTTTCCTTTCCTTGGAACCAGAAATTAGGGAAGTAGGAAGAGCGAGCCAGTTGGACACAGACCATCTAAGGACAATGTGGTTATTGTTATTTGGAAAACTGGCTGGCTTCCTGTGGCAGATGTTCTCTGTCTGTTGGTAGGGAAAGGCACTTTGATTGTGGAGAGAGAAGGGGCCACATGAAACAAGTGACATTTTATTCAGCTCTCTAGGTTTCCAGCCCCGGACTCCGAAGGCAGGGACAGGATGTGCGTGGGGCGTGCCCCCTGCTTAGTCCCTGCAAGGAATGCAGCTGAGGGAGCTGCACTGCACTGGGTCTCCTCAGGGTCTGGTTAATCTTCGTGCGGGCACTGAAGTGACAATTGAGAGCTCTTCTGCGCGGGTGAGGGGTGGGCCCCCCATGTTCCTGGTTGGATGTGGATGTGGACCGTCCCCAGCAAAGGAGCGGTTTGGAAAAGCAGACAAGTTCCCACGCTTTCTCTTCTCTTGTTTAACGTTGCTGGAATCAAGCTCAGGACCCAGTACCTTCACCCTGAGGCTCTGATTAGTCAAGGACGAGGTTCTTTACTGAGACCTTTTGGCAATTACTATTTCTAGTAGCTGGGAATGAATCCTCCAGGTCTTACGGTGGTGGAGGATACACTGTACAATTCCAAATTCTAGAATCTCATTTTATATTAAAAATACTAATGTTTTGTTTTAATGGACTTTAATTTTTTTGGAGTGCTAGACATTAAAACACGGGCCTTCTAAATGTTAAGAATACACTCACCCTGGTCCACTCCCCCTTTCCAAATGTGTTATTAAATGTTATTTGCCTGCAAAGAAGGTTGGGAGCTGTTGAAGCGACAGTGGGGTTGGCTGAGACAGAATGAGCATGTGATTCCTGTCCTGTTAGGCATTTGCATTTCGTTAAATGTGGTCCAGCATTCTGCCAGGCTTGCTAATGTGGCCGAGCAGGATTATGGCTTACTTTGCCTATACCTATAAATTGCCCATGAATTTCTGCTGTTAAAGCAAAAAGCAGAGCAACAAGGAAGGAAGGGCTGAAGGGAGGGAGGGAGGAAGGGAGGGAGGGAGGGAGGGAGAGAGGGAGGGAGGGAGCTCAAAGCTTCGGCGACTGAGATGTATTCAGGTTTGTGTTCTGTCTGAGAGTTCTGTTCATTGTTGTGTTCAGAGAGTAACTGCCACCCTCTTGATCTGTTTTGTTAAGGTCCTTTATCACACTGAGGTGGCCTATGACCCGGAAGGAATCTTAGGGACTATCAACTCCATTGTGATGGCATTTTTAGGAGTTCAGGTATTGTTTCTCTCCTCGGGCTTCCCTTTGCTGACTGTGAGGACTGCTGGCAGCGTGACCAGAACCACTTCACTCTAGTGAGGCAGTGGAAGGAGGTCCCCTGCTGCCCTGGTAAATTCTGTTTAGGATCAAGACTGTGTAAACTAGGGTGGGGTAACAGCAATTCAGACAGCTGGCTGAATCCTTACGTTCTGGGAACTAAATTCTTACTGGTTGTGGTTTTATTTTAGCCCAGGAGTTTGTGGATAATGAGTTCCATTGACGGCCACATTCATTCATTCATTCAGTCATTCGTTCGTTCGTTTGTTTGGTTTCTCTGTGTAGCCCCGGCTGCCCTGGCAAGCCTCTAACCTAACTCCTCAGGGATTAGTCTCCCAAGTGCTGGGATTAAAATTGTGTGCCACCAATGCCCAACGATGGCCACATTTCTAATCCCTGCCCTTGGAAGGCTGAGGCAGGAGGACTCAAGTTTGAGAACAGACTGGGTTACCTAGTAAGACCCTGTCACAGATGAAAGCAGACACGTGAATGATTTCCTCCTGGAGTTCTGAGTGTTATGTATGGTCACGTGGGGAGGTCTCCGTGTCACTTGTCCCGTTTGTCCTCACGTGTTTATGTTGTTGTAGCAAAACGCCCGAGGCTGCTAACTCACAGACAGCAGACATTCGTTTCTCAGGCCCAGGTTCAGAGGGCTCACAGGTTTCCTCCTTTCCCGACAATGGCCTGTCTCTCCCAGAGTGCATCCTCTGGAGGGGATGGGCACAGTGTCCACACGTGGTACGCAGAAGGGTGCAGATGCTGGACTTGCCGTCTCAAGCCCTCTGTAATATCCTAACATACATTCCCAAGTGTAGAGCTCCATACTGGTCCAGAGGGACCACCTGCTGGTCCCTTCACCTGGGGATGAGAAGTCCTGTATTCACATTGGAAAGACACGGGCTTCCATCCACAGCCAGCTGTGTGAGAGGCTTCAGAGCATGTGTGTCTGTGCCCAAGTCAAATCTAGTTCCTCTTGGCTTATCTCCTGTGCACCTCTGTGATCATTCAGAGCAGTCTAGTGTCTCTACCCGAAGTTCTTTCTCCCGGCATTGGAGCCTTCTCTGAGGGGAGCAGCCTGGAGGGTGGAAAGGCTGGTGCAGGAGGCCCAGGAGAATGCCGAGTGACGGTAGCTCCAGGTGCCGCACAGCAGAGCTGATGGGTGAGAAAGAAACATGGCCGTACTGTTTTCTCCTCCAGGCAGGAAAAATACTCCTGTATTACAAGGACCAGACGAAAGCCATCCTGATGAGATTTGCTGCCTGGTGCTGCGTCCTTGTAAGTAACCAGCCCTCCTCACCCGGTTGTGTTCTTAAGACTGACATTTATGAAGAGGAAATAAAATGTCGGGCAGCTGCTGGCTCAGCGTGATGGAGAGCATTTCACTTGAAGGGCAGGATTCACAGAATAACATCTTTAAAAAAAAATCAATCTAATTTTCTCCCTGAGTGTGGAACCCAGGGCCTGGTACATGGTCTACCACTAAGGTAAATAAATAAGAGCATTTGCTGTCACTCAAGTGAAGACTGCTGGAGGAAGCATGTAAGGGATGCTCTCCGTGTAGGGATGCTCTACATGGGAAACCTTGCCAGAAAGAAGACTAGGCACAGGGTGAGTTGTAGCTCAGTAGAAGGTAGCATGCATGATGCCCCGAGTCCCATCCTCTATACCCCCTTAGACTGGGTGTGGTGGCATGTGTCTGTAATCCATCATGAGGAGGGAGAGGCTCCAAGACCACCTTGGCTACATAGTGAGTTTGAGGCCAGTCTGGGATGTGTGAGACCCTGTCTCAGAAACAAAAGAGAAAATTTAAAAAGGGACTGGAGAGATGTCTCAGTGGTTAAGAATATTGGCTGCTTTTACAGAGGATGTAGGTTCCATTCCTGGCACCCACATGGCAGCTCATTACTGTCTATAATTCCAGTTCTAGAGGGTCCAACCCCTTACACAGACATATATGCAGGCAAAACACCAATGCACATAGAATGAAAAAAGAAAGAAATGGATATTTAGCTGGGCGGCAGAGGTGCACACCTCTAATCCGAGCACTTGGAAGGCAGAGACAGGAGGATATCTAAGTTTGAAGCCAGTCTGGTCTACAGAACAAGTTCCAGGACAACCAGGACTGCACAGAGAAACCTTCTCTCAGAAAATTAAGAGAGAGAGAAAAAGAGAAAGAGAATAAAAGTGGAAACACCAGGCAAGCGATCGTTTTAAACACAGGAGCCTCCAGTTAAGACCATGATAAGCACCCGGCTGGACATTCTCGCCCTGCTGCCTGTGGAGTCACATTGTCTTAGGAGTCGCTGTGGTTCCTCACTTACTTTCTCAGACTCTGAGAACACTGGAAGGTGGGTTTTGGATAATGTGTTAGTCATTTGGATAATGTGTCAGATGTTCCTTACACATCTTACAGTAGGTTTCCAGTTCAAAGGGCAGAGTAAAAGCTGTGACACCTAGGTCCTTACTGGCGGTTAAGTAGCTAGTGTTTGTCTCCAGTGCACTGTGACTTGAGACTGTAGTACAGATCTCTGACATCTTCTCTTCACAGGGGCTTATTTCTATTGCTTTGACAAAATTGTCTGCAAACGAAGGCTTTATTCCGATAAACAAAAACCTCTGGTAAGCACGGTGGAGGGTGTCTCATTACTGTAAGTCCTCATGTTGACACCGGTGTTCCGGGGTGCGGGCGGCAGCCTTCCTTCACTCATCTCCCTGTAGGTCCATTTCGTACGTCACCACCCTGAGCTGCTTTGCCTTCTTCATCCTGCTCGTCCTGTACCCCGTCGTGGATGTGAAGAGGCTGTGGACAGGAGCCCCGTTCTTTTATCCAGGTGAGTCAGCTGTCTTCCCTCAGCAGACTGGCTCACAGGGGCACTGGGCTTGCTCAGAGCTGAAGCCTTTGTCCTGGGGACACATTTCCAGGAAGCAGGCTGTGCTGCCTCAGCTCACAGGAGACCACTGGTGTGTTCTAGAGCTCCCCGCCTTGTTTTTACATGCATGGGTTTCGAGAGTCAGTGCATAAACTTTGGTTGTTTTCAGGCAGTATGAAATGGTGCAGCACTGGATATGACCCAAGACTTACTGTTTTTAGTAGGAAATAGGATTGTACTTCAAGCACGGGCGCGGGTGCACAGGTGCCAGGTACAACTTGCAGGAGTTAGTCCTTCCCACCATGAGGTTCCTAGGATAGAACTAAGGTCAATCAGGCTTGGTGGCAGATGCCACCTGCTGAGCCAGCTCGATGCTCCTAATTCCTGAGAGTTTAGAAATACCCTTACTTCCCACTTCAGTATCTAAGCTATGCATCGCTTATCCGGGCTAGGGTGATAATGTGAGTCTGTGCTTTATGTTTTCTATTGAATTCATTTCAAGAATTCTATGACTAATCTGGACATGTTCTGATCTCTCTAAGGGATGAATTCTATTCTGGTGTATGTTGGTCACGAGGTGTTTGAGAACTACTTTCCCTTCCGGTGGAAGCTGGAGGATGACCAGTCACACAAAGAGCATCTAATTCAGAACATGGCTGCCACCGCTGTCTGGGTGCTCATTGCCTACGTTCTCTATAAAAAGAAGATCTTCTGGAAAATCTGACAGCACTCCCTGATAGGCTTTGCTGGAGGAGCCCAGAGGCCCTGGGAGAAGGATGGAACTGTCTTTATTAAAGGACTCCTCCCCACAAAAGGGACATACTTACGGAAGCTGTGTCCTGTGTCGAGCTGACTTGCTTAGCCATCAGAAAGCTGCCTGTATGTTTTTACTTATATATTTACATATTTAAAATGTTATGTTCGCCCTTTCCTTCATTTTCTATGAAATTGATATTTTTGGAACGTGCGTGGAGGGGTTTACAATGGACATTTTGCTTCTGTAATGTGCTGGGTTTGACTCAGAGGTAGAATGTTTTCCTAACTTGGACAGTTTGATCTCTGCACCACAGACAAGCAAACCACAACAAGAACACAAGAAAACCCAAAGGACCACTTCTTATTTCCTGAAAACTGCCTTCCCCTGTGTATATGCATGCCAACAAAAATACCACGGTTTCTGTTGTGAGACTTATATAAAGCTTTTTGAATGGACTGTCTCATAATTTTGTCTAATTTTTTTTATAGCATGCACTTTAATGTTTCTAGGAAGCCAAAGTAATTTTCAAGGCTTTGATGAGCCAACAAAATGCATTATCCAAAGTGACCGGCTTCTCCCCCCTCCCCTGCCCGGAAAACACTGAAGCATAGGTAGGTTTATTATTGTTGGTTACTCTTGTTGCACTGTGCCCATCCATCCAGCCTACTATTTACTGCTGTCTATCTGTCTGCCTGTCTGCACTGGCATGTCTCTGGATGGTACTAGGCGTCTCTAGGCGCCAGAGATGTATCCGATGAAGGAAGAGCATCTGCTCTCGCTGTGATCCTCTGAGCTGCCCCTGTGTAAGGTGCAGGGCAGCCGTCTGGCCTGTCAGAGCTTTGGTTCCTCATTCATGGAAGGAAAGGGATGGGCATGCTCCATCAGGTCTCCCCAGTGTTTAGATGTGATAAGCTGGGGTCTCTTGGCAGCTTCTCTGAAATCCTCACTGTAATCTTATAGGAAACCCTGGAAAAGGAATAATAGGGAAACCTATAACTCCATCGGAGTGAATGTTATCAAATGTCCATCCACAGTTTCCGGAGCAGAGGTGATATATGTGGAAGGACAGCCCTTGTGTGCTGTGCATGTCATTCCCTCGTGGGGATTTTTCATGGGTATTGTATAGTAAAGGAGAATCGTGACGGGGTTGTACTTCAGGTCACTCTTCCGTGGTGGCCTGGGGACACGTTTGTGTGGCTTTTAAGTCCCCCCCCCCATTTACTTATGTTCCCAATTAAGAAATACACATTAATCATTGCTAAGTCTCAGTTCTTTCTCAATCTTCCACGTCTGCCTGCTTCATTCTCCCTGTTGCGGCTGCTGTTCGAGTCTAGACGCTTGCCTCCTTATGGGACTCCTTATCCACTGCCATCAGATTCAACTTGAGAACGAAGGAGTTGGATCAGACCACCATCTTGTCCAATCAGTGGGGCCGGAGGCATCATCTCTGGCAGGTACAGTGGTCTTCATTTGATCCCACTCCTCCCATGTCTCCCCACCTCCTTCTCAGCCTTACTTGGCCCTCCCTCCCTCCTGACTGCCATCTTCGGTTCTCCCCACCTGGATTTGATCTGTCATTTCAAATGCCCCATTGTGGAAGCACCACCTCTCACCTCGTTCCCATCCAGAGCTGACACCTTTGGGGTTCTCAAATATTGACATTCATCTCGTGGCATTAGTAGCTTCTGCCTCATGTGATGGTTACTTTCTGGTTACTGTGATATCAGTGGCAAGAATTACATATTCTTCTACATCTGTGTGGTGCCGGATGTACTGCCTTGTGCTTAGCAAGTGCTGAATAAACAGTTATTAATGCTAAACAATGTGATTTGGGTGTTTTTAAAGACTTTACTTTTTAATTGTATGTGTATGGGGTTGCGCACATGAGTGCTGTGCACAGGTGCTGTCTCTGCAGAGGCTACAAGAGGGTATGTGGTACCTATCCAGAAAATTGTCCATTCCTTTTAGATTTTCCAATTTTTTGAGTACAGGTTTTTGAAGTATGAACTAATGATTCTTTAGATTTCCTCAGTGTTTGTGATGTCCCCCTTTTCTTTTCAGACTTTGTTCATTCAGATGTTCTCTCTCTGCTTTTTGATTAGTTTAGATAAGGGTTTGTCTATCTTGTTGATTTCTCAAAGAACCAGCTCTTGGTTTCATTGATTCTTTGTATTGTTTTCTTTGTTTCTATTTTATTGATTTCTGCCTTCAATTTGATTATTTCCTATCATCTACTCCTCCTGGGTGAATCTACTTTAAGGTGTGCTGCTAAGTTGCGAGTGTAAACTTTCTCCACTTTCTTTATGTAGGCCCTTAGTGTTATGAATGTTCCTCTTAGCACTGTTTCATAGTATCCCATAGATTTGGGTACGTTATGGATTCATTTTCATTGAATTCTAGGAAGTCTTTAATTTCTTTATTTCTTCCTTGACCCAGGGGTTATTCAAATGAGCATTGTTCAATTTCCAAGTTTGTAGTCTTCCTGCAATTAGTGTTGTTGTTGAATTCTAACTTTAAGATCCAACAGGATACATTGGGTTATTCCAATTTTTTTTGTAGGTGTTGAGGTTTGCTTTGTTACTGAGTATGTGATCAATTTTAGAAAAGGTTCCATTAGGTGCCGAGAAAAAGGTATATTCTTTTGTCTGGGTGAAATGTTCTGTAGGTATCTGTTAAGTGCCTTTGAGTCATGACATCTGTTAGTTCTCTTATTTCTCTGTCCATTTTTTGTCTGACTGATCTCCCACTATTAGTGTGTGAGGTTTGATGTACGATTTAAGCTTCAGTAATGTTTCTTTTACATATGTGGGTGCTCTTGTATTTGGGGCATGGATGTTCAGGATTAAGACTTCATCTTGAAAGATTTTTTTCTGTGATGAGTATAAAGTGTTCTTCTCCATCTCTTTTGATTGACTTTACTCTGAAGTCTATTTTATTAGATATTAGGATAGCTACACCTGCTTGTTTCTTAGGAACCTTTTCCCAACCCTATACTCTGAGGTAATGTTTGTCTTTTTTGAGGTTGAGGTGTGTTTGTTGTAGGCAGAAGAAGGATCGATCCTGTTTTCATGTCCATTTTCTTAATTTGTGTCTTTTCTATAGGTTAATTGAGTCCACTAAGAGATATTAGTTGCCACTGATTGTTAATTCCTGTTATTTTTCAGTGGTAGTGTTTGTGTTTCCCTTCTTTGGTGTTTGCTGATACGAGATTATCTGTTGTCTGTGTTTTTGTGGGTACAGCTAACTTCCTTGAATTGGGGTTTTCCTTCTAGTGCTTTCTATAAGGCTAGGTTTGTGGATAGGTATTGTTTAAATCTGGTTTTGTCAGGCCATAGTATCTCTTGACAGCAATAGAAACCCTGATTAAGGTGCTGGAGAGATGGCTCAGTGACTTTAAGTACTGCCTGCTCTTCCAGAGGACCTGAATTCAATTCCCAGCACCCACATGGCAGCTCACAACTGTCTGTAACTCTAGCTCCAGAGGATCTGGCATCCTCACACAGACTTATATGCAGGCAAAACACCAAAGCCATAATTTTTTTAAAAAAAAAAAAAGAAATGCTAATTAAAACACCTACCCTAGAGCTCCCCTAAAGGGAAGGCAGGGAAGGCCAGACCAGGTTGAAGAGCTAGCTGTGGGACTCGGCTGAATCTGGTAGATTTTAGAAGATAGTTGGATGAAGAAATCAGGGGTGCTCCAGTGCTAACCCCAGGAGGAGGATGTAGGATTTCTAGTGGGTATGGGCTGGGGTGGGGATGACACAAAGAGTCCTGTGGGTGGATGCAGGTTTATCCTGGTGGAAGCCTAGATGTTGGGTACCTTGCAAGTGGAGGTGATGGAGCTAGGCTGGAGGACCAGATGTGGGACTCTGTGGAAGGCTAGAGGTCCCCTGATAGAAAGTGCTGGTGACCAGACTGTGCCAGGGCCCTGTCTGTGGGACCTGGGTTAGATCCTGCAGGCTGTAGAGAAACAAATGTTGGGGGTGGCGGTAGTCACTAGGCTAGACCTTAGACAAGGATATGGAAAGTCTGGGCATAGAGTGGGGTGGCAGCGATGGAATGAAGGGTCCTGTAAGTCGGGGAACTTAAAGCTGTGTGATCTTGATCTGATTTAGGGGTTGAAACATTGCCTACTTGAAGCTACTGAGCTTCACCCAGGAACATCGTGTCCTAGTTAGTGGTTGTGTTTTGTCAGTTTGATAAGAGCTAGAATGATCCGGAAGATCATTCTCAATTGAGAATATGCTTCCATTATACTGGCCTGCAGGTAAGTCTATGAGGCATTTTCTTGACCAATTATTGGTGTGAGAAGGCAGAACTTAGAGGCACCAGTCACAGAGAGGAAAAAAGCACAAAAGCTATGTCATTAGAACAGGAAAACAGCTTCCATCAAGGGGGCTGGAGGGCTGGAGGTGAGAGTACACCTGGGCTCTGGAGAGGACTTTATTATTTAATTTTTTCATACAATATATTTTGATCATCAACTCCTCCTAGGTACTTCCTACCTCCTTACCCACCCATATTTATTTTCTTTATTTCTCTCTTTCAATAAAACGAAACACAAAAATGAAAATGAAAACAACCAACCCCTCCCCCCCCAAAAAATCCAGTAAGTCAGAAAATGCCAAAACAAAACGAGTGTCTTCCGGACACAACAGGACTGCTTGTCATGGGCTCACAGAGACTGTGGCAGCGCATAGAAGGCCTGCACAGATTTATGTTAGATGGGGTCCCAGGGCTAAGAGAGGGACATGGACATGGGCTCCCAACCCTAACAAAGAAGCTATCTGTAACTGATACCCACTGGCCAAGGGAAAAATCAATGAGACCCCAGTGGAGTCTCACTGGGTATAAGCACACTTCAGGGCAGGCCATACGCCCAGGAGTAGGTGGCCATCACGAAATGGACGGGACTTTGTATAGTCTCCCAGTTTGAAAAGGTTACAATGTCCAGGAACCAGGAGTAGTCTTTCTGAAAGTAACCCATCCCTTCTACCCAGATCAACACAAATTCTGCTGATTCTCTGCTTCAGCGTGATCCCAAAATATTCATAATACTCATTTTAATGAACATCTGCCTTGTCCCAGATCTTATTCATAGGCAAATTGGTTCCGGTTCCTATCAGCATCTATCCATGTGGAGGACTTCTTAATTCAGCTCCAGTGAACCCGTTTATTGCTGGAGGGAAGGAGCGCAATGGACTTTGCTTTGATACCGTTTACCACGTGCATCTTTATTTATCTACCGTCTTATCCGGTGGGATAAGAGGGTCTGTTCCACAGCGGCGTGAGCTTGCTGACTTGGGAACTACTAACAATGGGAACAAAAATAGCACACATCTGTTCTTTTCATTGATCCAAAAAACTGGAAGTGAATAGGTCCAAAGGATAGACTTTGGTGTAGGAATGCTGAGATGATTTCTCTGCCTCTGGGCCGACTTTGGAAACATGCTGTATGCCCAGATGCTTTTCTGGGACCAGTGACATTACGTTTGTAATGTTCTCAAGAATCTGATTTGAAGAAACATTTTTTGTTTTGTAACAGGCAGTGCTAAACGGGATGGCACAAAACACGAGATCTGAGGGCAGCAGGCCGCAGTCATTAGCTGGCCTGGTAATTACAAACCTGTAAGGAGAGCCAAAGACAAATTCTGAGATCGCCATTTGAACAGTGATGCTACAAGCAATGCCCCAAGCAAAGGTGACAGTTCCCCCCCTTTCGTCCTTGGCAGGCAGTAGCAGGAGGGTTCCTAGAGGTCTGTGTCCATCTCTCTACAACTCTCTGGGAACAGCTGCGCTCGTCATTTTAATGAGAGAGACAAGACCATATCTGGGAGAGCTCACCTCTATTGGCTTATCTGACTTCAGGTTTATTTGCTTTCTCTACACACAGACTAACACATTCAGCTAGCACAATTCTGAGCACTGAAGCAAAACTGGGACATGAGATGGGCAAGACAGGACAATGTGCAAGAGCTCCCTCACAGGTGCAAGGCCCTGGGTTCCACCCCTAGAACAGCAAACACACAAGCAAAAGCAGGGCAGTGCTTGACTGGGGAAAAGTTCCTTTGGCCAGAGAGACCACACAGTTTGCTTGCTACAACATACAGAATTTTTTCCCATATAGATTTTTGTCTATCTTAATGTGTATGTCATCTTTTTTTTTTGTTTTGTTTTTTTTTTTTTGGTTTTTCGAGTGGTTTCTCTGTGGTTTTGGAGCCTGTCCTGGAACTAGCTCTTGTAGTAGACTGGGCTGGTCTTGAACTCACAGAGATCTGCCTGCCTCTGCCTCCCAAGTGCTGGGATTAAAGGTGTCATCAAATTTTATACAGAATGCAGCCTGACCAAAGAATACATGCATTTAAAACCTAAATTTCTATTCAGAATAATCTGAAAGAACACTCACAGCCTGGGCCTCCATGCGAAGACTTTTAGGGAAGCAAGACACTTCACCAGATGTCAAGTTCAGAGCAAAGCTCAACAAGTGTGCGTTAATACCTCAGGATTCATGACCAAAATGTAGGCAAGCTGACCTTGTGTGCCTTTCATCTGCCCTCTTCACGACTGTCCCCAAAGGTCTCCCCTTCTTAAATATTCAGGCTTGACCTCCCTTCAGTGGATAATCTACCCATCATCGTTTCCCATGAGTCCTCTGGCCCCGATTGGTTCTAACTAACATTTAGCACGATCCCACATTCCTTTTAAAGGAAAAATACCGTTTCCTTCCTTGAGGATCTCTCAAATATAAGCTGTACAATCTTCCAAAAACCAGATTCTACAGATTTTCCAGACCTGTGGAGGCAGGATTTAGAG